ATGAACCGTTTAACTAGACTATGAAGCTATACCCCAAGTGTGAGTGTATCCTCACAATACTGCGATTAGCCTTTCTTAAAAATAAATACGCAAATACAGGCTAGATTGCATACATTGTTGACCTTCGGAAACCTACCGGCGTCATACTATTAGAACTTCAGAAAACATCTATTAGCGTGGTTAAGATTACTAATATCTATCTACGTCCGCGGGATTATGTGTTTTGTTTTGCGTCGTACTATAACTATTGGAGAAGCGGCTAAGCGTCCATCTGCGGATCCGAAGGTCGTGGGTTCAGATCCTCGCACACTTTCCTTAAGCAAAAACCCAGGTCGACCCAGTCTTAACAGAAGAGCCACGTAGTTCCACGTACCGCCCTGGCGGCCGTTGTGATGTTGACCCTACCACCCACAGAGTGCCGATTGGTCTATTATAAAATAAGGTCTAGCCCTATATGCCCAATAATATGTCTGAATAAGTGGAAACGGATTCTTGATCATTTTATTTCAGTTGACCCCCATCTCCGTAAATTTCGCAAGAGTTCCAAGGTAAAGTTAAATGATATAGGGGTAAAATCAACACCGACTAAACACCACCCCCCCCCCCCCCCACACGATATTAGACTTTTCCCTGGAAACTCAGATTCCCTTCACTTTTACTAATAAGTTTCCAACTCAACACAAACAGTACAAGTATCCAACTTCTATCATATTACGGTGGTACTGGAAATGTAGCAGCTAACTATCAAGTTTCGCACTCGTTATGTATACTCAGAGGAGCGGCTGTCCGAACGGTTAGAACGATGGTTTCTAAAGCGGGAGACCTAGGTTCGAACACTCGGTGAGACTGGGGATTTGTTTAATGTCAGGGGCACAATAAAATCCTCACCTGCACAGCTGTGACGCCAGTACTAGCCACGAGGACGTAAATCCTCAGACTCAGCCCTCCCCCCCCCCCCCCCTACTTTTTTTTACACCGCAAAAGTAATATAACAAAGCTAGTAATTAGCAGTTACATCGATGATATATGGTCCGTCATTTCTCTGCTGAACGGCGTCGCACAAAGCAAGTATTTCGCGGCTCCAACAACGGTCTCCGTAGATCTTCGTGAAAAATCGCACTCCGTGAATTTAACGCCGCTGCATCAGTGAAACTGAACCCACGACCTTCAGAGAGCAGGGCACACATGGGTTAACCTTCGCCACGCTGACCCCAAAACAACATCAAAATACGGGCATGCTTAAAGTTTCTCTCCCTCTAACTGGCGATTCTGAATCAATATAAATAGCACCGGTCTCAATCTAAACGCACAGCTGAGATTACATCTATCTAATTAATTTCTTGGGTACCAACTCACAAACACAGTACACGTCACCACCCCTCTAAGTTTGCAACTCAGTCCACAAAACACACCGTTCATGATTTTAACACTATTCCTTCTAGATACTGGTCAATCCAACGGACTTCCACGATAGCCAGCGACTGACCGCCGTCCCAATGAACGCTTAATCAGTGTCGGGGTCGAATTCCACAGTGAACAATGCTCGAGAACACATGTCGGCAAGCGGCGTTGCGCTCGGGGGTTGATACCTTCATGTCGGTTGAACACGATTCACTGCCAGAAGCAGGCAGTCTCTCGCTCAGATACCCTTTGTGTGAGAGAAGGGGTGCGTGAGCACACACAGCACACCGGCGGGAAGTTATTACACACAGGAATACAGAGAGTTCGTCACTGGGAAGGAAAGGATTCCAGGTCCAGAAACAATTCAATGTCCAAGGTGAGAAGGGTTACTACAAGAGTCAATGAAGAAATCTCGCTCCAGGGAAAAGTTTTTGGGCATGCCACTTTATATGTCTAAATGAAGTCAAGTTGCGTTTGCAGCTGTAAAATCCAATCTACAAGTTTAGAGGTAAACAAGGTGGCTTTACAGGTGGGGAACGTCAGTTTAACAGGTCGAGATATAAACAAAGTGGGTTTATAGCTGGGGACATCAGTTTAACAGGTCGAGATGTAGACAAGATGGGTTTACAGCGGGGGACATCAGTTTAACAGGTCGAGATGTAGACAAGATGGGTTTACAGCGGGGAACATCAGTTTAACAGGTCGAATAGACAAAGTGGGTTTACACCTGGGGACATCAGTTTAACAGATCTAAATATAGACAAGATGAGTTCACAGTGGGGACATCAGTTTAACAGGTCAGTATATAGACAAGATGACCTAACAGCGGGGGCATCAGTTAAACAGGTCGAGATATAGACAAGATTTGTTTACAGCTGGGGACATCAGTTTACAAGCTGAGATATAGACAAGGTGGGTTTTCAGCTGGGGACATCAGTTTAACAGGTCCGGATATAGAAAAGGTGGGTTTTCAGCTGGGGACATCAGTTTAACAGGTCCGGATATAGATAAGGTGGGTTTTCAGCTGGGGACATCAGCTTTACAGGTCCGGGAAACCTTCCAGGGAAAGGTTTTTGGGCATTCCACTTTATATGTCTAAATGAATGACCCCATTTTGCAGAAGTAGTTATGTCGATGAAAGATGGTGACTGACAAAGATTTGACTGTTTTGATCCACCAATAAAACCCAGGACAGATCTTACCATGAGGAGATTACAAGTGTCTTGAAGGGGATAAAAAGTTGCGTTTGCAGCTGTAAAGGCCAATTTAAAAGTTTAGAAGTAAACAAGTTGGCTTTACAGCTGGGGACATCAGTTTAACAGGTCTAGATATAGACAAGATGGGTTTAACAGGTCAAGATGTAGACAAGGTGGGTTTACAGCTGGGGACATCAGTTTAACAGGTCGAGATGTAGACAAGGTGGGTTTACAGCTGGGGACATCAGTTTAACAGGTCGAGATGTAGACAAGGTGGGTTCACAGCTGGGGACATCAGTTTAACAGGTCGAGATATAGACAAGGTGGGTTTACAGCTGGGGACATCAGTTTAACAGGTCGAGATGTAGACAAGGTGGGTTTACACCTGGCACATCAGTTTAACAGGTCGAGATGTAGACAAGGTGGGTTTACACCTGGGGACATCAGTTTAACAGGTCGAGATGTAGACAAGGTGGGTTTACACCTGGCACATCAGTTTAACAGGTCGAGATGTAGACAAGGTGGGTTTACACCTGGGGACATCAGTTTAACAGGTCCAGATGTAGACAAGGTGGGTTTACACCTGGGGACATCAGTTTAACAGGTCGAGATGTAGACAAGGTGGGTTTACACCTGGGGACATCAGTTCAACAGGTCGAGATGTAGGCAAGATGGGTTTAACAGGTCGAGATGTAGACAAGATGGGTTTATACCTGGGGAACATCAGTTTAACAGGTCGAGATGTAGACAAGGTGGGTTTACACCTGGGGACATCAGATTACAAGGTGAGAATTTAGCAAAGTGTGTTTACAACCAGGGACCCTTGTTTACAAGCCCAGAAGCAGACAAGGTGTGTTTACAGCTGTAGATACCAGCTTACAAGGACAGGTGTAGACAAAGTGTGTTTACAGCTGGGGACACCAGTTTACAATTCTAGTGCTAGACAAGGTGTATATATACTGTTATACCACTTCACACATTTTGGTGTCCAGTTAGCTGAAAACCTTGAGTCAAGACACTAAGGTACAGTTTAAATACAAGATTGGGTGCATTCCAGAAGCTTCCATTTGGTTGGGGCATGCATAACTAAAGGCAGCTTACGCACAGGACACTGCAGACTCAATAAACACTCATGTGAAATAGATAGGAGCAAAACAACCCCTTGCCAGTGTCTTCGTGCTCAACAGACCCCAGAACACATCTTACAAGACTGACCTCTCCTAGAAGGGCTGCCAAACAATTTGTGCCACAACCAGCAGACATGGCTGACAACTAAAACTAAGCATTAGAGAAACTAAAGACACCTTGAACTGACATACCAGTTTATGTGGCCCATGGTGAATTAAGCACATGACCAGAGACCACTGAAGAAGAAGATTAAAGGCGCATAGATAAGCCAGCCTAGCTTTGAAGAGACCCGAGTTTCTTTCAGGCAGACCGTGATAATGAGCTGCAATCCACAATGCAATGTGCTAACTGCCGTTTTGAGGGCAAGTGCAGAGAAAGAATGGAGCGCCCCCACACACACACACACACACACACACAAAAATCACATCCACCTGCAGTTTACATTCCACATTGACAAGATCGCAAAATACATGATTTACCAAATAGGTTAAGAATTTAAGTACTATGTTAGAAGTTGCACACATACCAGGTTAAAAAAGTAATTAAGAAAATCAATGAGTTACATTCAAGTTTTGGAAAGTTTAAGGGGGTATATCAATGGTATGTAATTTTAAAAAACAAACATTGTAGCAAATACCACTCTGCATACAATTTAGAGACAAAACATCAGCCCAGCTAGTAATACAATTAAAACAATTTAGCTGCCCCCGCAAAAGTAGAAAAGATCTAGTTGTTTTAAATACCTGCCCCAATTCACCTACCTTTGTGTTCGCAAACACAACTAATGCACCGTAATATGCTCATCAATGTCATACCACGGTAGGTTTTTCAACCCAAATCATGCTGTGCAATTTGTTTTTCAAGCATGTCATTCTACTGTGGATCTAATTCTGAGCCTGCATGTTAGTCTGTAGGAGCCGAGGTGGTTTAGGAGCTAGCTGCTGTCTTCTGGCCTTAAAGGCATGGGTTGGGGTCTAGTCAGCCCTCCTCCCCCCCTCTAATAACCTTGATGCCCAGGTCGACCTAACCAAATATAGGTGCATGGGAGGTAAAGGTGACCGCCACCAAACGAGACCACGCAAATATTCAGGACCAACCATTGGTGTTCAAAGTGTCCTCGTATTTATCTATAAAGTTCTTATTTTTTCTTTGACATACAACTGATGATACAAGAGGTGGACAAGAAAATACTTTTATCAAAACAAGACAGCTTACCCTGTGAAGCTTCCCCTCTGCCATTATCCCCAGCCCTGTCAATTATGCTTGCTTCTTCACTGCTTAAAGGCTTCACAGAAGACGGCTTGATTACAGCATCTTCTACAGGCTGGGACACAACAGAGGGCGCTGGCATTACAGTGCTGGGAGCTGTTGGTCCAGTAGCTTTGGAAGGAATGTTGTCTTGGGATGGCACCTCCGCTGATGGCTTTGGTTTATCGCTAGGCTCAGCTTTATGAGTCTGGGGCGCAGAGTCAACAACAGCGGTGGGGGGCTGTGGGGGTTGGTGCTGTGGCTGCGACGGTTGATTCTGAGTCTGCTGAGGTGGTGACTGTACCACCGGTGGTCTTAGAGGCTGCTGTTGCAGAGTTGAATGTGCGTGACGAGGGGCATGCTGAGTAGAAGGGTGTGGGTGCTGTTGCGGAACTGTGCTGTATACAGCTGGTGTTGGCTGTCGGAGGGGAAACTGAGGTGGAGGCATGCTCAAATTGACATTGAGGACTTGGTGCTGGGCGTCATGAACAGCAGGTGGTGTCTGTGGCGGCGTGCCAGAATGTGCAGGTGGAATTATGTGAGATCCTGCAGTAGGAAGTCGCATCCCTGTGGTTATAGACAAAGGTTGTTGCTGTGCGTGCTGTTGTTGCTGTTGACTAGATGGTGCACCCCCAGAAGAACTGGTTGGTGGTGGTGCACTAGGTGCAGCTCTATGAAGATCAGATGATGCACCTGATGCACTGGAATCATCAGGTGATTTCAAAGATTCTGCCACAAGGCGGGTGAAAGTTTGGCAAATCTCATTTTGATTACCCTGAAAAGATAAAAGTTAGGATAATCATGCAACTCTTCTAAACAAAAAAAAGTGTTTACCCCATTAGTCTCCGAAGACTGTTTTATTTATTGCAGTTTTCACATGTAAATAATTAAAGTGGGATTTCACACATTTTTAAGAAAAAGAGGCACAGAAAACCACATGAAGGTGCTGGAGATGTGCTGTGACGAGAGCGACTTGTTGAGAACCAGCTAACTGATGATGGATCAAAAGCAATTGGTCTTAGTTCCTTTTCCCTAAGCACATACTAGTTTTAAGAGAAAACAAATTAATCAATCTTGGCTTCCAGGCCAAAAAAAGTCTAAAATGGTTAACAAGTAATGTCCTGGTGGGTAAAGATAGCCAGCGTGAGGCTGACTACATCCTCCACCAAGTGCCAGCTGATGTTTAAAAAAAATGTGTCTAGTGTCGTATGCCAATGTGCCATTAGCTGAAAAGGGATCATGTACTTGTCTGCTTCTTTGTCTTCACCGCCGGAAAATTCTGGTTGTCAATTTGATCTTGTTCCAGAACTTGAGTTATGCAACATGAGGTGTGCACATGCACTCCGACTTCCATGGTTTACTACATGCTTGTAAGTAGGGGTGGTACGCCTCTGTGGTTAAGTTGCTGGCAACTGGCTCCACTTCATGTGCACTTATTTTCTTCTGCATCTAGCCTTAAAAAGTTAGTATTGTATTGTGTTAGTATGGTATATACTGTATTGCTTACGGCTAGGCTGTATTAATGAAACATAAGTAACTAACAGCCTGCATGCAAATAATTCAGTTCTGTGAAACAGATGTGCATGACAGTTAGTTTAGTTTCCAGGGACCAGAGTCCAGAAGCGGACGAACAACCAGAACCTTCCGCCGGATATTACAGCCAGTCAATGCGGATAAAACGACATCCATCATTCATCACAAGCATTGATGGAGAAAAAGTGTGCCCAGGATAAAACAAGACTCACAGAAACAAACAATACTGGAAACAACATGTAATAATGGATTTAAAGCAGTGAAAAGGCAAAACAAATCTCAGACAGAAACAAATATCCTAGATAAGACAAATCTCAGACAGAAACAAATATCCTAGATAAGACAAACCTCAGACAGAAACAAGTATCCTAGATAAGACAAACCTCAGACAGAAACAAGTATCCCAGACAACACAAACCTCAGACAGAAACAAATATCCTAGATAAGACAAACCTCAGACAGAAACAAGTATCCCAGACAACACAAACCTCAGACAGAAACAAGTATCCCAGACAACACAAACCTCAGACAGAAACAAGTATCCCAGACAACACAAACCTCAGACAGAAACAAGTATCCCAGACAACACAAACCTCAGACAGAAACAAGTATCCCAGACAACACAAACCTCAGACAGAAACAAGTATCCCAGACAACACAAACCTCAGACAGGAACAAGTATCCCAGACAACACAAACCTCAGACAGGAACAAGTATCCCAGACAACACAAACCTCAGACAGAAACAAGTATCCCAGACAACACAAACCTCAGACAGAAACAAGTATCCCAGACAACACAAACCTCAGACAGAAACAAGTATCCTAGACAACACAAACCTCAGACAGAAACAAGTATCCCAGACAACACAAACCTCAGACAGAAACAAGTATCCCAGACAACACAAACCTCAGACAGAAACAAGTATCCCAGACAACACAAACCTCAGACAGAAACAAGTATCCCAGACAACACAAACCTCAGACAGGAACAAGTATCCTAGACACAGCAAGCCTTGTCGAAAGCAGAAACTAACACATAAAAGACAGAACAAATCACTCAAAAGTATCCCAGTCTACAGAAAACAAGCAAAAACATTTCAAAAAGAAAATTGACCTACTGGAGACAGATCGTCGCGATGATCATCTGTGCTAACAGAATGTGACCTGCTGTTCAGTAGCTCCTCTGTGATGTCCCGCCCCGTATCTGGGTCCTGTATGCTCAAGACTTTCTTCTCCCGCTGCACAGGTCGCGGTGCCGGGGCAGCAGCTGGTGGTATTGCTGGCCCACGCCATCCGGGAGTCCCATTTTGATAGTATACATAGTTAGGGTATGCAGGAGCACCTTGCACAAAAGCATTTGGCGGGTACATAGGTACTCTAGCACTTGGGTACTGTGGAGGAAATATAAGACACATTTAACTAGAAAATTAACAAGGAAACGGGAGACAAAAATTACTGAGAAATTTAAAGAGGAGAAACGAACAGGGAATCAGTAGACAAAAAGAGGATTTAGAAGACAATACATAATCAATGAGGAAATAGGAGACAAAATTTATAGGGAAATGAAAGATCAAATTTAAAAAAAAGTAAGAGAAAAAAACCAACGGGAAAACGGGAGAAAAATAAAAACTAATTCAAGTGTGCACAAACAAAGTACACAACAACCGACTGCCTTGCATAACTGGTCATAACTTGTGCATTGCTTCAGAGTTTACATCAACATATAGTGAAGCTTAAAATATTCCACCTCTGAAATCTAAACTAAAGAAAGCGCTGTCTAGTTTTTTTTTTTACTGTACATCTCACCAATGGATTTTATCTTCATGGGAAATGTCCTATGTATTTTAACTACTGCTAATATTACAATAATAAACCTTCAATATATACATCAGTTGGGGACTGCCGTGGTGTAGCTTGGGGAAAGTGTCTTTTACCTGTTTATTTTTCCTAAAAACAATAACACTAAACAATCAACAGTTCCTCATTATCTGGGACTTCTGCTTGCAAGATGGTGCCATTTGGTTGTGTTAGTGTTTAGTGGACTTTAGGACTGTACTTTTTTTTGGGGGGGGGGATATCACTGTCTGCTATTGTGTGCACTCTTCCAACTTATGATTCGTGTACTTTGTGGAAGTAAGTAAAAGTGTAGCGGAATCTTTCCCACTCCTTTAGGTTATTCGGCATATAGGGCTAGAGCTATACTTTATAGATGAACTAACACTTGGTGGGTCATGTGGTCAGCGTTATGCCTGCCACTTTTAATTCCCAGGACTTACCTGGAACCACCTCAAGCTGGTTCAACCTGAGCCCTAAAGTCCACAGAGCAGCTGGTCACCCACCAAGCAGTTAAATAAAAGAATGACAAAATGCAGTGTTTCTAAAACATCTGCACTGACAAACCAAAATGCTATAAAAACATAATCTGCACAGTTCATGGCAACTGCACCAGCACAAATTACTAGGCTTATTCCCCCACCCCATGGTTTTACATGGCCCCCCCAGAGACTGAAACCCCACTCACAACCTTTAAGTGCAAGGCAAGAAAGGAACGAATAGTCTGTTCCAGCAATGTCTGGTCATACACTTAATCCACTAAGGGCCATAAAATGGGATGTCAGTCTGAGGTGTTCCCGAAAGCTTCATTGTCAGTTCCACAAGAGGCAGCCACATATCTCGTAGCACTTCTAGTCAGGGAAGTCAGTTTTCAAGACATGTTCTGAGTTTTGCAAGACATGTTCTGGGGTCTCTTCAGAAGAAGACTCAGGGAGGAACATGTTGAGTTTGCAATGTCCGGTGCATAAGCGAGCGATGATGACTCGGCCTTTTATACTGAGATACCTCAGGAAAATATTTGTTTGTTTCTGATCTCATTATGTTATAACTACGGAATAGATTTTCTGAAACACTTGAACAGAACAGAACAAGTCACAGTTTTTCGCTTACGCACTGGACACTGCAGACTCAATAAACACAAAAATTAGGTATGAGCCAAACAGCTCTCTGCCAGTGCCTTCGTGCTGAACAGACTCCAGAACATGTCCTGCAAGACTGTCCTCTCCTGGCGGAGCTGCAGAGCGACATATGGCAACACCCAGTAAAACTGACAACTAAGCTTTGGGGGAACCTAAAAGACCTTGAAAAAACATCCCAGTTTATGACCCACAGTGAATTATGCGCATGACCAGAGATCGCTGAAGAAGAAGATCTCATTATGAGGAAGATAAGAGATGTGGTACTCACCATGCCAGGCACCGTGATGACACTGTTGCCCGGTGTGAAGTTCTGGGAGATAAACATCATCTGCTGGGATTGATGAGGTGGTCTTGGGTGACGCATGTTGCCCTGGGGTTGGGCAGTGATATAGTACTGCAAAAAATAGTGTGTAAATTTACTGCACAATAAATTAAATGCATGCACATAACAGTATTGAATAAACTAATTTAAAAAATAATAAGTTTACACAATCTATGCACCACAAGTAATCCTTGGCATTATCAGTTAAACAAAAAAGGTATCATGCCAAGGGTTTTAAAAATGAAACTTGCAACGCCTAAAATCCCCGCCCCCCACCCCATAAAATGGACTCTGCAGAACCTAAAGAGCATTTCAAGTCATTAATTAAATCACAACTTTTCAGCCAGCCATTACTAAGCATGTATTGCAATTCGCTATTTAAAAAACTAACATATTAATCTACCCATGATTTTAAGTGGTTTAGACAGTGCTTACAGAGTCAGTTCTATAAGCTTACAAAGCAATGTTTTTTGCTCAGGCCCCAAAAAATTCATGACCTTACTGCAGATTTAACCTGTGTCTCCTGCATGAGCACCCAGCCTTCTTTACTGTTGGGCTAGCCATCCCTCTGAAAGTACCAGGGAATGGCATTGTATAATGGCCTGGTTCATTGAGGATACCACCTTGTCCGGATGATTGTGTCATTTTGCACTAAAGAGAAAGCATGAGAATCACAGCCCATAATGTGAGCAACAGTATCTGGGTTTGACTGCCAGTCGCAGTTGTGTGACTGAAGTAAAACAAGCAATTACTCAGGTAATCAAAAAACCCAAGCCCTCATGAATCCAACTCACAGTGTGGCTCTGCTGGGCCTGCTGAGGCCTAATGTTTGGTCCAGGCTGTTGGTAGTAGTTGCTTCCCTGTGTGAGGTTTTGTTGGTTGGGCACTCCCCTCCCGCTGTTGCCTGGCTGACCTCTGGTGTCACTTAAAGAACTGCCATAAGCCTGAGGAGAAAAGAAAAACACAAATCATAAACTGACCATATTCACTAACGAATAGAGTTTTTGCACACAGGATTACCAATTGGGACTAATTTCAGCTGGTATTATGCAGTCTTCTTTGTGTTTACTGGCTTCCAGTAGAAAGCTCTGGCTGTGATCAAGTACTTGAGTGTGGGGGACACATTACTTCTTCTTCCTTCACCAGCTGTGAATTCTGACGGAAGGTCCCGGTAGTTCATCTATTTTGACTTGTGGCTTTTACCTGGTCCTGAGTTTTGCGTGTACATCTGTTTTACTGGCCTGTTTGTTTGCTGTTCCTTGCCTCACTGGCGGATGTACTCCGACTTCGAAAAGGGGGCACATTACAACTCTGGCATATCTGTGTGCAGAATGTTGGTTCCTTGACTCTCAGGTACATGCACTGGGACTTCAAAAGAACATTTGCAGCTCCTTTTATAAAAGCATTCTCTTTGATCATGGCTATTTAACTCATAGCCTGCAGATGGCTGTGGTCTTTAAATATGCTGGGGTTTGGGCTTCTGGTCTGACATAATCCACTGTCAACATTTTGGTCCCTATCTTAGCTGTATAGCCCTGGCCTTGATTATGAATGCAGCTTAGCAATCAAACAAACCAGGATTGAAGCCGGCTGTAAAAATTATTTTTTTTTATTAGATCGCTCTGGATCTGACAAATGTATGAGTGCTCTAGTGCTCAGACAGCAACAACAAACGACGGAACGTAAAATTTACCAGTAAAGCCATACAAGTCAAAATGCTGCATCTGGTTTGCTGATTCTGAACAACAGCATGCAACTAACGTATAAGACTACACAGTCTGACTAGGTAACATATAGTGAGAAAGACACCATCTGTCTGTGTTATCTTAAGCCCTTAAGAAACAACAAAAATAATTAAAAAGATTATAAATAAACAAAGATTCACTTTAATTACCACAGCTGCTTTAAATAAGTAGTGGTAAAGTCCATTTATTTATGTGAAAAGATAGCAAGCAAATAGAAGAACCTGTCAGCTTCATGTTATTGCAAGCCCAACGATAAGCAAATGTGGCCAGCAAGCAAATTAGATAAACAAATTGCACAAAATCACTTAGTTGACGTATTTCCGATAGAAATAACACTGATGTTGAGCCAGTTTTGAGACTAAGTAGTCATCAGGCCTGTTAGTTCTTAGGTGAGCCAGTTTTGAGACTTACTAAGTAGTCAGGCCTGTTAGTTCTTAGTGACTTAGGTTCAAATCCGGATATTTTAAAATATGATGGGCACCAGGTAAAGTCCTTGGAAGTAAAAGCAGCCTGCATAGTATTGACATCATCCATGGTGCGAGAAGGGACCTTTACTTTAATGTAATCTGATGCAACCAAAATCACGGTCACATTCTAAAAGATAAATCGCCACCGTGTTTTATTCACTGATAAAGACATAAGTGAAATATTATCATCCCTTTTAAAGAAATTGTGTTGCGTCAGTTAATTTATTGATACCAGTCCTAACTAAAGGGAGCTGCTAAACTGTTTCATAGCTAGTATAATTATCAACCATACTGAACAAAATAAAGGGCTCTACTGGCGAATCCGGACGAAGAATAAAAAGCCTTGGACGACTTAGTCAGAGTTATCTCCCGTCGCCGCACTCCAAACAGTGATCGGAAAATCCACAACGAAACAAAGACAGTCACGTCGACATCAGGGCTGCCAATGCTTGGTTGTTTCCCCCAGATCTGGTTTTTTTTCGACGCTGCAGGACAATTCTGGGTGTTTTTTTTTTTTTGGGTGTGTTTTGTTTGTTGGTGTTTGCCGATTTGTATGCTTTAATGATCGATAAATTTGCGTGGTTAGGGGGGTAGGGGTTAGGGTTAGGAAGTAGGATTAGGATTAGGGTTAGCGGTAGGGTTAGGATTAGCGTTAGATTTGACAATTTTGAAGTTCCCTATCATCGCGCACAGTCCCATACACACAAACAAACAATCGAGGGCCTCTGGATGCTGGTCACACGCACAATTCGCCAACGATTGGGGGCACCAGCCGCACGCTATTGGCGTCATATTTGGCAGAGTTTCAGTGGCGCCACTCCCACAAACATCATATTGTCGGCCAGTATTTCGAAATCCTACGTCAAAATTTTCACATCTAACCCTAACCCTACCCCTAACCCTACCCCTAACTCTAATCCAACAACCGCATGATGATGACTACACAACCATTCACAATGCCTCACGCAACCGTACGCAACTGTGCACGCAACCATATGATGATGCCACGATGTCTCACGCAACCGTACGCAGCCCTACACGCAACCGCAGGATGATAGGTAAGTTTGTCGTTTGTTTCGTTTGTTTTCCGATTACTGTTCGGAGTGCGGCGACGGGAGATAACTCTGACTAAGTCGTCCAAGTCTGTTTATTCTTCGTCCGGATTTGTCAGTAGAGCCAAATAAAGTAATATATGACCGAACATAACCACACTGGTCAAGATTAAGTAATATGAGTAATATAGCAATGCAGTGTTCAATAATTTAATGAAAGTAATAAACTACACTGGGCAAGTTTAAGTAACCTTCTGCATCATCCAAAAATGTAATTGTTGTGTACCTGCTTACAATATGGCCTCATTCCGGCCGACACACCCGACTTGTGCGGGCATTTGTTCACCAGGTTAAACATAAGGACAGTTATTACCCATACAGGAATGGATTAAATTAAACATAAAAAGTAAAAAAAAAATGGAATATAAAAATGTATAACAGAAATATAAAAACGTATAAAAGTCTATCACAAAAAATGTATTTCCACAGCTACCTGTACAAGCAAGCTACACATAATGAACATACCTGGTAGGGGTTGAATGGATGACCCTGGGCCTGCGGCAAAAATTCATATGCACCTTGAGACAGCCCAGCTAAAAATTTAAAAAAATATTCAAATTTACAGAGGAGCATTCCAGAAATTACACTGACACATTTACAGTCTCTCTCTCTCTCTCACACGCACCAGTCTTAAGCAGAAAGTTCTGGTTGTTTGTCCACTTCTGGACAATAGCCTAGTTCCAGAAACAGTGTGCGAATCTGTTTTACAAATCTGACTTACTTGTATGCAGATTGCTGGTTTTTTTTGGCAAACGCACTTAGACTTTGAAGGCAGCCCCCCAATTAGTTTACATCTACAACATGCTTTTTGGGGAGGCAGTAGGTCTATTCCTACTTTCCCCACAAGGGGTCCTAAAACCCACATATCAGAAATTTAGATTTAACACACAAAAAACGATACAAAAAGCAATCACTGTAAAATGACTTTTGGCAGGGCCATTTGTCTTGGCAGCCCACGGGGTTCTACAGTTGCATTGTTTTAAACATCCTTATATGAAAGAGCTCTTGCCTGCGACAGTCCCCTTTTCAAATTACGTGAACAGCCCTGGGTTGTTTGTTTTAAACCACGACCGCTTCCTGTTCGACAGACGCCACAATGGTTGCCTATCACCCCAAAAATCTAATAGGTATTCCCGGTGTACCGAAGAAGTGTAAATGGTCCTTTGCTTTTTTTCTTTTGCCGCAACATGCTAGCACATGAATGAACTACTAGGATACAAAAGCTATTATTTTCACGATGCCAACAATCCCAGAATCTAGAAGCCGTGGGTGGTGTAGCGGCTAGACCGTGTGGGACGCTCTAGGTTTAAACCTGTATTGATTTTCCGTGAGGGATGTTCTAGGTTTAAACCCATATCGTAATTTCTTCTAAAATGGTCCCGGCCCTCCTTACATGGCGTTGCAGAACACAACCCCAGCACTTTTCGGCTGTTGTTCTGGGCAAATACTACGTTCAGTAGTTTACCCCTGGTTATTAACGACTCGATTCCGATACCACTGTTAAAACTAACGCAAAACAGTCTGCTGCCAAATCGCAAACAGCTGGGATCGAACTCTGCACCCCGCATTACGAAGCGCGTTCGCAACGCCTAAGCCACAGGCGCCGCAGCCTAAAACGGGTACCAGGAAAAAGTCCAGAGAAATGAAGTCAGCCCCTGCAATGATGCCCACATCACTAGTTAAGCGCCGACTTGCGTGAAAGAATCCCTCACTTATCTGACTCACAACAGGACACAATCTTACCTATTTCCACAAGGCACACTAAACAAACAAGACGTTTGATTAGAAAACTGTATATTGGCCAGTCACCAATAGCTGGTCAGGTCAAGAGGTCATCGGCCGAGCACATGGCGGGCGATATGACCAGAGTGAAGCACGTGACAAGCTCAACCCACGCACCAGTCATTCAACAAAAGGTTTAGAAAATTCTGCTGCGTTCTACCAATTTTTGGGGAACATTCGAGAAACTGTTTATACGCAACTTCTCTCGTAACCGGATTTCGCGGAGACCGGGTGACGTACTCCTTGTGGTCCGGGTTCAATCCCGGGGGTAGGCAGGAAAGCCACATTTTCTCCCAGATTTACGGTATTTACAATGGAATCAAGGCCGAAAGGTTGCGATATCCATAATACCGAGCCTAAGGGTTAACAACTCATGGCTTCTGGATACTAAAACAAACAAACAATACGCAACTTCTCACCAGGGGCGCAAGCTCGATAAACTAGTTAGGGCGACCGGGTGACGAATTTGCTTGGGACCCGAGCACATGCTCGGGGGGTAGGCAAAAAAGCCACATATTTCCTATTTTTACGTATATATAGCTGAATCTGACGCTCCTGACCTATTTATTTATCTTACAGATTTCTGTATAAAAATTGGTTGATCACATCGCAGCAGACAGACAGTATTGGTCCAATATTAAAGGAAGTTAGGGTAAGTGTTTGTCGGTTTTCATACCACACTAACACCCCGGCGCCCGAGATGAGGTGTCGTTTCTGGTACTGTCTGTAGGCACATTGTCCCCGAAAACGTGTGCCAACGTAACACGTGTTTATAAAAACTCCAGACAGTCACTTTTTTCAAAACCAGGCCACACGAAATACAGCAGTGCATGACTAATACCTGTATTAGCGCGAGGAGACATAACAGTATATGTCGTACTTGGCTACACCCAGTCCATGTCTTGTGGCGTTGGTAGTCACTGCTAACCACAATAAACATTTTGCTCGTACACTTTCAATCAAATCCTAACCAGCTGATGTAAAACTTTTCGGCACTACTTCTCTTTGTTACAATGTACTCCAGTTGTCTCCTTCCCATCGCATGACCTAACAATGTAGATCAGGGCTATGTAACTGGCGGCCAGCAGGCAACATTTGACCCGCAGAGGCTTAGCAAGTGGCCAGAGGATCATTGCTAGTTATGTTATATAAATGATATGTCTGCGATTAGTGTCAGGCCTCTGGCCTGTGAAGATCTTTAGTTTAAAAAAATTTGGCCCCTGGGTATACTTAGTTGAATAGCCCTGATGTAGATTGTCTCTTTCTTATGTAGGCAATTTGTTCTCGTATGGGTCAGTTTATTTCAAGACATCATTACCCTTCTGTCCTGTTGTTTTCTGATCATTCGTAATTAAACCCACATCCACGCAGCTTCCAAAAACGTTTTCGCTAATTTAGCAACTGTCCATGATTCACTTTCATGATCATGTCAGAGGCACCAAAACATGGATCTCAAGCACATAGGAAGGATCTCTCTCTCTCTCCTATAATTAATGTTAGTTAAAACATTAAAAAAAAATCCAAACCTAAACACCTTTCATAAAATGTGTATAGCATATGAGCTATTCAATCTGCATTTATGTTTGCAACATTACATATGCCTCTTCTTAAGTTACTAGCCTAATGCCATGATGGTCTTTTATTTTACAACTGCCTCTTGTCTATGATCAGTCTTGTGTTACTAACCATCTGTAGGAAACTACTGACAAGCATTTATCTAGTGCATGTTTTTATCTATTATTCAACCAAAGAGTCAGTTATCTCTAGTATGCCCTCATCTGCAATAACTGTGTCTCTTCATCTAGTTGCTAAGCCCCAAACATTAGCCATTCAACAAGAAAAGGCCAAGAAAAAAACAAACGCACATAAGACTACAAATACTTACACGGCGGTCCCTGGTAATACTGCTGTGGCGGAGGCGTGCTCGATGAAATAGCGCTAGGTTTCAGTTAAGGAAGTTCCGTTTCAAACAAACATCAGTAAGTAAGTAAAAACCTAGTTAACTCAAAACAAACACTTGGTTAACAGAAAAAAAACTGACCCCCAACAACTTGTTATATTATCACGACTAACGTCATTGCACATTGGGCGTTCTCATGCATGCTCAGTACTCTGATGCAGCAACCACCACAAGATACTTCTAATAATTTTTCCCATGAGAGGTTGGTCATAATGTCTCCTATCTTGGCCTCATAGATGTGCTACACCATGCTTGACACCCATGTCAAGCAATTGTGTTAGTGTCAGAGTGTCATTGCCCACTTGTCCAGCCCACACAGCATTGATGATATCTGCTCTGTCTATGCTTCTTCACAAATGAGGTGGTGCATTGCTTTTCAACTGGTCTGCTCGCTCATAAGGCTTTACGCTAGCATGACAAACTGTAAAGATCCAGGTGAGAGAGGTTAAGTGCGATATCTTCTGAAGCATATTCATGGAGTTAGATGGAATCACTGTCTGTATGCTCTGCTGCCCATTCTTGTGCTCTCCACGGTCATTGTAACTGCCATATCAAACATCCATACAACTGCATACACCAGTATGAATGTTTGTAACATGTACTCTATATTTTTCGACCCCTTTGAATTTGTGTTAAACTTTTTTTGTATATCATAATGAAACCATCAAACATAAAACATTTTTAAGGACAATGTTTATAAAAATTAAAAAAATGATGTCACAATTGTAGATCTATAAAATTATTGACAGAATGATATTATGCATGTGGTACATAGATAATTGCCTATATTATATTGATTAAGCTGGAAAGATCACTTAAGTCAATGCGAGTGACTGCAAAGTAAATAAATATAGTAATAACAGATGAGATCTCCACACACCCATAGTTAACCTCCTTTTACATCTCACTATTAAGGACCAAAGGGCTAAGATTTAAAGATATAAAATGTGTATCCCACGACAGTTAACCCATATATCTGCGAGCCACCCAGAGACACAGCACAAACAGGATACAAACTTGGGATTAAAATTATAGGTTGAACGAACGGGGCAGTATCCGCTGTACTGGGTAAAGCAGTCTCCATCATCACCATTGTTGCAGGAAAATATGAGTGCACCGAAGATTATGCAGCAGCTAGAGTACGCTTATTTGCTATAATAGCCATCTTCTATATAACTACGTATTTTGTCAGCCTCCAGCTAGAATGGTTTTATTTTTTCTTAGCGACCAACCAGATTACGCTTCTGTTTCTTTTTTTGGCGATTAACTGATAGACTACACTCCTTTAGTAATCAACTGATAGACTACACGCCTTTAGTGATCAACTGATAGACCACACGCCTTTAGTGATCAACTGATAGACTACACTCCTTTAGTAATCAAATGATAGACTACACTCCTTTAGTAATCAAATGATAGACTACACTCCTTTAGTACCTCCAGCGAATACCAGGCTAAGTCGAAACTGCAATATTAACTCCAAAACATCTGAATTCTTCTTCCAAACGTCAACACCACACAGCAATCGCTGACGAAACAAATCCAGAAACTGTACACCGTGTCCAGAAACCCCGAGACGCGAACGCTTCGAAAGGCCACTGAGACCAACACATCCGTGGAAACCAGATGGACTACCGGCGTGAGCAAAGCTCAGTTTTCCAAGGAAGGGACTGGGGCGAAACACTGGCGGACAAGAGAGAGAGAGAGAGAGATTGTGTCATACACATCATAGTCGGGATGAACACAAGGGCCAGATCACAAGCGTGAAACATGAACCAGTAAGTTATGCAACGCAATTGCGGTTCTATTTTCCTTAAGTTTCCGTCACTCCCAACTCCCCGTGCGGGTTCCGCCAATGCATATTTTTCATAGATCCCGGGAGCAATAGAATAACTAGGCTAGACTATTACTATACAGGAAATAAGATTAACAGATTAATATCCCACCAACGGGATATTTTAATCAAATTTAAAAAAATGTGCTAAATATAAAGTCTAGGTAGGCATTTGATGTTAGAGGGGGATTAAAAAAAAGGTTCTCGTATGTAACAGTAATAAGTTTAAACAACCAACTGTGCATTACAGACAACCGGAAAACATTTTTCCTCCCTATAACCTAAACATATATACAGTACCTGAGAGAAGCAAAGATGCAAAGCGAACTGACCACAATAAGAAGAACAGAAGAGTGGTTATGTGGCTGCATTACAATCAATAGGATAACAGATGGTAAGAGAGAGAAAACATCCTTCATGTAGAGGTAACCCAGCGAACAAACTGGTGCAAGCTATTCAAGAGACTGCGATCCTTATGTGGGTTCTGAGGTGAAGCCCTATGTTAGGGTGTGGGTAACTTGTTTAACTTGTCTCTTATCAAGCATGTTGTAATAGGGTGTGTATGACCAAAACACATCGTGATTAACATGAGTGAGCGCAAAAGCAGCAGGAACAGTAGTAAAAAAACAAAACGCCAAATGATGTCGAGCTGGTATGTCAAATCATGACCTACTTTATCCGGAGAAGGCGTTGGTCAAACTGTGGGTCGTGAGGGCCACAAACTGAAGTCATCTGCTAAAAATTATCGCAGGATAATTTTCTTTGTGCGGGATGCAGGTGTGTCTGCAAAAGACCAAAGGCAGCATCCAGTCTGACATGCCTTTAGCGTAGGGCAGTTTCCCCCAAACTTGTCTTGGTCGCGGCACCATTTTGTCAATAAAAATTTTTCTACGGCGCCCTAACCGTATGACTATTCGTATGTGAGAAAAAAAAAAAAGAATAAAACTTCGTATCTTTGAATTCCCTGTAAAGAGGTCGCGGTGCACAGTTTAGGAATCAGTGGCGCAGGGAATTTTAACCGCTTACTCCGAGAAGCAATAAGACACAAAGTATAACTGACTTATCCGTGTGGGTTCTGGTGCCCGAATTTTGGTGTGGAAAAAGCAGACCGCTCTGCTTCCACGGCAGGCATGTGGTAATCGCAGGGTTTGTTGAAATTGAAAATGTTAGACCAAAAGGCGCAGACAATGCAGCCTTGCTGTAAACCACAATTCGCCAAACGCCATTTGATGGGCGAACGTAGAAGCAGAAAGGCGACAGATTATACCGATACATGAGACAGAAAGACGCAGATAATGCAGCCTTGCCATAAACCACAACATAACTTGCGGTGGTATCGAGATTCTGTTTAGTGGCAATAGCAAACTATTGATCGTAAATGTGCATAGAAAAACCATAACAGCTCAAAAAAAAAAAAAAAAAAAAAAAAACAGCTTTTCGTGCTGTTTGTAATATATTTGCACATTTATTAGTACTAGTAGTCACTTCTGTCTGTTTCACCATTTTTTTAGAACTGTGGAGACAGGAGAGTGTTGAGCTGGGGATTTAGGGTCGTCTGGCCGTCCTGTAACCATGGACTGTTGCCGAGGGTCAAACCTGGACTCTCCCGCATGACAGCCCGACGTTGTAACCGCTCCTTAGCATATTAATGATCCACACAGTATCCACTTATTGTTATCACCAGGCTCAAGCCCCTCCATAAGTATAAGCGCCCCCCCCCCTCCCCCCATCAAGAAATTTAGCTGTGGCGGTCAGCATGAACAACGACAAATCCCGTTAAACCGAATATACTAAAGCCAGACGGAACATACCTGGAGTAAAACGCCCCGCCCAGTATTTGGGCCCGGGCAAGGTGAGGCCAACGCGTCACCAATAGTCTGCTGTCCTCATCAACACGTCCCCCCCCCCCCCCCCCCAATATAAATAGTGGATCGCTTGTCCATCAGTAGAATGAAAAAAACAGTCGCCCACACGTGGGACACAATTGTTTGTTATTTTGGAGCTCCACTCTGGCTTTTGCGAGGGGGTGGGGGGGGGGGGTGTCCGGCATTAAGCCTGACAGTTAAACGCGGTTTTTGGGACCTCTTCACGGGTGATCCTCGTGTTGGCACTTTGTGTCACCTAGTGTTCATGTCTGGGTGGGGTGAAATTTACTTTCTATTAGTAGAGGCCACTAAGGGGAAACAAAGATAAGACCGATTATCCTCACTGTACCATTCATAGGCAGGATGGAAACACCATAACTACTGAAGTAAAACCAGCGAAAACAAGTTCTAAAACGTCCTAAAATGGATATGCAAATAATTTGAGGGTTGAGGCAAAAACGTCGTCTACTCCACTGTCTATTAAACATTAGCTACAAAATCCTATATATTCTTCTTGCAAACTCCGACGAAAAGCCCTGTTTGTCCCTAAACTTCTGGACTTTGGCCCTGTTGCAAAAATTTTTGCGTGCACGTCCGTTTTACAGACCTGGCTAATTTGTATGCCGAATGTGTTCTTCGCTTCTTGAACAGATTAGCTGGCTTCGGAAAGAAAAGAAAACGTTCAAAATAAGTTGCCTTACATGATATGCTTGTCAGGGACACAGTTCTTTTAAATCCCCAAAATGAAGCATCTAAACCCAAAGAAGAAAATCCTGTATCTACTGGAGCACAAGCACCAGCACACTATTTCCTTGCAGTGATAATCCGGTCAGCCTCATGATGACACAGGGACGATTTGGAGCCCACGGTGGCTTTCATTGAGGCTACCACCCTCCCCTTATAAATTTTATGACAAAGAGATCAAAGAAGACTCATTACCGATTTCCCAACCTTAAATAGCTTTGGTCCCAGATAGTCTCAGCCTAAAATGGGTACCAGATAAAGTTTTGGGAAGTAAAGGCGGTTGGCATGATACTGACCACATCACACATCAAGGCTTACAGAAATATAATTAGTATGAGTTATCTCAATTAGTATATCGACTGAATGTGGCCTCGCTATCATATTCCCCAAGTTGTAGATGAACATATGCAATGATGACCGCACAGAAACAAAAGAAATGTTTATAAGGATCAGCTGCAGCATTTGGTTACCTTAGTAAGTGCTCCAGTTTTTTTATCAAATAAAAGGGGTCACACACAAGGAAGTTCTCAACAGTGCACGACCTCTGCAGTGTGTGACTTCATCTAGCTTATAATCCACTCCAGGTAGACACACAGTGGCGTTTTTTTTTTCTTTCTTCTCACCCCAGGCCATGGAATGTTGACCTCTACAACTTGAAACTGCCTAGAAAGTTTCACAGCACATTGTCTTTTTTTTTCACCAGAGGTAAGCCCACTCCTCAGAAGGAAACATCACATTCTGAGCAGGTTATGAGAAGAAAGGAAACTGGAGCATGTTATGATCAACAGTCAGACATATACAGGAAGACAAAACCAGATTATCTTGACAGGCCTTTGTCATGGCAGCAACTGATATATACGGTTGCAGGGCTTGAGTTGTGGAAGACTAGAGCACCATGACAAGCAGTCACTTGCAGGTCATCCAGGGTAGGAGAAGCAACACTCGTGTTACCTTTAGGCTTGTCACTGAAATGTATTTGTTTGCCATGGGGGCATATTCTGTATAGATCGGAAGGTCGCGGAGCCAAACTTTAAAAAAAAAATGAATATTGACTTCCAGGTCGACCCAGCCTTGAGTGGGTACCAGGTGCAGTCAGGGGAAGTAAAGGCTGCCGGCATAATCACACATCTTGTGCCGATTGGTCTATAAAATTATAGGTCTAGCCCAATACGCTGATAGGAAGGGAAAAGGGACCTTATTTTTTTTAATTGATCAGATCAAACAAAGCATTCAAATCACTAGACAACTGCTTTTGCAGACTGAAATGAGTCATGTCAAACAACAGCCATTTCCCTAGTCCAGAAGAACCAAATGTGAAAACATTCCAGGCTGAAATATTTAGATGTCTGACTCTAAAACATTAAAAGTGAATAAATCAGAAGACCAGAACTGCTAATAACAGATGAGACAGCCAGGTGATCTAACAAGATACCCTGGTACCAACTGCCAGAGAAAGGCATGCTAAAGAAATATAATACTCACGAAGCAAGGAGAACACTTCCCACGAGACTGAATGATATCAAGAACAGCCTTTAAAAAAAGTTTTACCAAAAAGAGTACACAAGATCCTTACATCTCCCTCCAACACTTTGATGAGGTTAGTGGAGAAAGAGAAGTGAACTCTAGGCCAAGAGTGCAAACATAAAAGCTATTTCGGAGTCTCAACCAGCTCTCAACACCCAAAAGAGAACAAGATTTCTGCTGTAGAAACCTGAACAATGAACATTAAGTAGCAAACCGACACTGAAGTGTCTTTAAACGAATCTAGAGACCTAGAACATGTCTTAACCAACTCAACTGATGAAACAGCTGTTCTGTTATGGCTTTACTAATTACGAGGTTGGTCATTATACAAAGGCCTGGTCAACAGATATTACACACAGCAGATAGAAAAAAGCAATTAGGCTTCCATACAACAGCGCTAGCTAACCTCTAAGGATTTTAGGGAGGCCAAAGTTGACAAGTTTAGCATTAACAATTCTGGTGTGAGAACTATCCCCAAATGGGCTCCCAGACTTCATCTGGAGGTGGGGGGGGGGGGGGGGGGGGGGGGGGTTAATGCCTTCAACAAGTCTGTAAAAAAGCAACATAGAGACGCCTAACAATTACAGATGGCCTAGCTGTAAACCACACAAAAAACCAGCCCCCTTTCAAAAGTAGAAGCATTAGATTACATACTTGCACAGAAATGCTACTAAAGACATTTACTGTGAAGACCCTCCTAACCATGCTCAATACATTAGTTTCGAAAAAAGTAAAGGACTCGTTTCCTCATTAAAGGGCTAGCATGAAATTGTATCAGTCTGGACTTGTGTGATGCTTGACGTGCTTGATATATTGTGCTCACGTTGTTTCTTATGTCAATATTTATAATGTTTACGGCAGTGATTGGTGGTTTGAGGGGTTGCTTAAATTAAAAAATACCTTGCAATAAATTACCAGTAGTTAGCGAGCTGATGGCAGGCCTATGCTCTACTGCAGGAAAGGGGGGCAGAAAAAGATAGAAGTACTGTTAGTTCAAAGGAGTGTGCAATTGCCCGAAAGGCGAGGGACCAACAGTCTGCATACAGATGAGCAAGAGCTGTAAAATGGGTGCTCAAGCAAAACCAAGTTTTGAGACAAGACACAAATCCAGAAATGGACGAACTAGTAGAACTGTCTAGAGTTTCCACTCTAGGTTGTGAGTGTGAAAAAAAAAAAAAACATTTTTAAGAATGCAAATAATTAAGTCGGTCAAGGACAGGATATAGTTTATCCCTGGGCAAAAATGTTGAAAATAGGGATCAGCGCGGGCCAAAGGACCAAGCCTAGAAAAAGCTAATGTAGTACAGTTGGCAATGATTCATGGGCAATTTGCTAGTCCTCTGAACGATGTCAGATTGACAACCCTAAAACATAAGGTATGCAGAAATGGTGCTGTTCATCTTAAGTGTTCTTATGACATTCTAACACCAAAGAAAGCATAGGCCTTTAACCAACTCACAACAGGTCATTCTATCCTTTGCTATCACATGCAGTTCTTCCCATGTCCTTCCTATCTTTTTAACTTTACTCTCTAGCTCTCTTTTCCATGTGTTTTTATTCTTCCTTTATATATATATATATACACTCTGGATCTCAAGTGTTCACAGCTGTAAACAGTTCAGGTTTTTCATTTACCTCTGGACTTCAGTCCTGTTTGCACATCTGTTTTACACAACATTTGTAGGACTTCCGGTTAAAATGGACGCTAGGCAGCGGCACTGTTCGGAGCAAAGGCAAATTTTTTGCTTCTGCATGACGGTGGCCGATGCATTTTTTCCTACATTTGTAGACTGGATATAGTTTCGTCGCCCAGCTTCTGAGTTGAATGCATGGCATGACACTGTAAGCTGCGGATTGCATTTATGTTTTTTTTTTCGACTGTGACCAACGTGGTGGTGTGAATTGTAGATTCAGAAAATGGTGCGATGCTTGTTGTGCAATGTTGGCGGTACCCGTATGTGATTAAAATTGATCGTGCTGGCAACTGCTGATCTGTTGGCGACAAGTTCTGCTATCATCAATGATGAACTGCATTTCTAATGCTGGACTGTTTGTGTTAGCACTTCAGATGGCTACCGTATGCTTTAATGCGAGTGTATGCTAGATATGCTGAGGCAGCAGTCTGTCAATCTTTCCACAAGGGACTGTGTGCTTTTCGTTGGCACAGGAGCGGAGCAAAGATGGGGTGACCCGTTTGCTATGAAGCTGAAACTAAGACTACCAGACACGACATTTGTATGCAGGTTGTTGGTTCATCACCACTCAGGCAGATGCACTTGTCCTCTTTTATCTGTCTATAACTGTTTCTAGGGCCCATAAGTCACATAAAGAATAACTGATATTGAACAGGTTCTTTACTACTGATCATGAATATACCAGATCTGAAAATCAATGAAAGTAAGAGAGAAAGAAAGAGATAGAAACGAGGAAATGAGACACTCAACAAAATTTTCAACAGCCTATAACGCCACTGCACACTATATGAGAGGTTAGTTATAATGTCTCCTATCTCAGCCACGAAGGCAGAACAGACATTCTTCACTCACACAATCATGTTTGTCAAGCAGATGCACTGCGATTTTGAAGATAACACAATAACACCCCTAACTTGCCTTTTATTAGGCAGCCTATATAAAACCCATAGAAACTGTATCTTGTGTTTAAGCCTGTTAAACAATAATTAAATGCACGTGTGATTAATTTTTTCTACATGTTATGTGCAGACATCAGCACCATTCAACCCCCCATCCTCGGTTGCACAAAACAAGATATCCCCAAACATAAGACATGCCAATGTTTTTATACAAGTATAATATAATAAACACATGGTTATTTCCAGATTCCCAACCCAACAGTTTAATGTCAGTGTATTCTGTATGCTCTACTTCAGGGCTATTAGTTACTGGTGGCCTGCAGGCAAAATGTGGCCCACATATCACTGCCAATTAATTATATTGTATTAATGATCTTTCTAGTTTCTACGCTGAGACTTAGTCACCTAGCCCATGATGATTCCCATTTTCAAGACAAACATTCTGGCCCTTGGTTAGACATAGTTGAACGACTTAAAGTACTTAAACGACCCTGTTCCTATCTAGTCAACTGAATTATATAAAAACATACACATACACATAAAGGTTTTCATGAAAATAAAGTAATGCAACTATATTTATTTTATACGAATGTGTGGCAAATAGTTTTTAAAAGCCACGTTTGCATATTTTAAGAACAACTAAATATAATGATGTAATACTAAATATAACAACTAACAACGCTAGGCCGAATGGCAGCATCAACAACAGATATCAACCCAGTACCTTGGTGTAGTCATTGTTTTTGTTGTCAAATAACGACACCACACAGAAAATATCATCCAGCAAACATATTTACAGCCCTACACGTTAGGATATGTTAACAGTTTATGTTTTTAGCCGGCATTTATGTGAATATCACATGTGCTACAATAGCCAAATGCCTCCTCCCTTCCTAATGTCCACGACGTGCATTATCGGAAAATGGCAGTGTCAATTAAATTAAGTATGGTGCATTTTCATCGGAAAACAATAAATGCATTCTAGTAACTAACATTCTATAAAATAAACAAACTTAATATAGATTTTACTTGTCTAAAAGAGGATACTTCACATGTCTCTGTTGAGATATTTGAGCCGGAGGTGATACTGATTGGTTTCCTCTTGATGTCATTTCATAAAATTCAGTGATAATGGTCCGCTATTGGGACTGGTAGGTTATGCAAATGTTTTTGAAGACATTCTCCTGAAAATAAATAAAAATAAATTGCCTACCTTCTTGCGAAAGAACACACTTAAATATTTCTGCGACAAAAATTAACACATGTGTATAACTACACTTCCGATGACAAAAGATTGTAAGGCTTATTTTTCCATATAGCCATTGCACTATACCTGATGGAGATACTCCGGTATTATTCGGCAAGGCGCTTTTACTTCCGGGTCGCAGGGTCTCCGTTTATTTTAATGTGCTCAATGAGACAGTGAACGTTCTCATTAACTTCGCACTCTTGATTTGCAATTTTTGTACAGTTATTGGGGTTTTACTCCCAGTTAATCTTAAACAAATCGTTATTGGAATGCTATTTAATTAAATCGTGTTATCTGTAAACTCTTGATTGCTTGAAAGAAGGAAACAGCAAGCAGCAATCGTTGCTAAATTTGAAGCTTTGGGGTATGATGATGAGAAAGCTGTTTCAAAAATTACTCATTTGACTTTTTTAAAAACATTGTTTGATAAGATGCACCTAATTTTAAATGACCTATATAGCTAGAAAGAAATACGTAGTCTTTATCGTAAATTATCAATGTACTGTACGTTGACTCTGAGGCTTAGCTCAATAACTTTCAGTAGAGTAACACTAACTCACTGCTAATGTGTTATAAGTATAGTAGAATCTGTTATTGTCAGTTATAAATTAGCTCTTAAATGTTGGTAAGTTAGAAGGAGGAGAAAAAACAAATCCAGCAAAGCACAATTTGTAAAAGCAACCAAATGCAGGAAGCAGATCCATATAAACCGCACTATAAATCCCTGGGCAAACCAGTGCCATGGTACCCCTACAATTACAGCTCACAGGAATGAAATGCAAAGGGCCACTTGACATACACAGAGTAGTATGAGGCCCCTAGACAAACACAGAGTAGTATGATGCCCCTAGACATACACAGAGTAGTATGAGGCCCCTATACATACACAGAGTAGTATGAGGCCCCTAGACATACACAGAGTAGCAAAGGGCCCCTTTGCAAGACCCTAATAGGTTAAGACATTACTTTTGTCGTCTTACTGAAACCAGGTTGTCGCCCAGTGTCGTGGTTTTCTGTATTTGTCTGTGGCTTGGGTAAATCTTTTGTTCAGCTTTTTGCAGGTTTCATCTAAACCATTTATCCATCTCTTTCTTGGTCTTTCTCTCGTCTTTTTCCTAGATGTTCTGCTGTAAAATGTTTCATATGCTGTTTGGTCTTGCTGCATTCTCACTAGATGGCTGAACCATTTCATTCTTTGTCTGTTAGTATAATCCAGACATGGTCTTATTCTAACTCTCTCTTTAATGCTGGTATTCGTACCCCTGTAAGGATGTATTTATGAGAAAAATAAAACCAAGATCATATTCCTGTGTGGGTTCCGGGGCCCTTTTAAAGGGAAAACAAGAATAGACCCACTGCCTACCCAAAAGCATTTTGTAAGAGTCGACTAACTGGGAGCTTCCTTCAAAGTCGGAGTGCATCTGCCTGAGAGGCAAGGAACCAGCAGTCTGCATACAAATGAGTCAGATCTGTAAAACGGATACACACGCAACCCTAAGGTTCTGGAACATGACTTGCAGTCCAGAAGTGGACGAACAACCAGAACTTTCCGCCAGAGTTTACAGCTGGTGAACGCAAAGAAGAAGAGAAGAAGGCAGCCATTAGAACCCTTTGGAACAATTCTCACCTACAACCCAATCACAGATTCAGTCAACCTGCTCATCTGAAAACATTAGCCTATTGTATTTAGACTACAAACTGGACACAACAGACTTTGCCACTATACATATCTGACAAATAATTGGACTGATTTTGAAATGGTCAAAACAAAGATGCCATAAATGAAGTAAAACATGTCATCCAAACAGGCACTCTTTATCTGTGATCTGGCAAACTGTAACACGGCCTGGTCAGTAGATGACAAGTAACTGCCATTTTGTTTAGCTAGGGAAAATGTCACCATTACGTATGCAGCATGAAAACAAAGGTGAACATTAATTATGTTTCAAAATTGATGAGTAAGTTTATGAGGATGAGTGTTTATCAAATTCAGCATTATTTTCATCTGTCATCATTCTCATAGTAAAATGTCGGTCTTTGTTTATCCAGTCTATGACTTTGGCATTAAGAATAGAAATTGGAAGCCCCAATCCACCTTCATCTTTTTACACTAATTTTGAATCACGAATATCTCCTCATGCACTAGATAAACATTCTTTTTCTTGTTTGTTCACCGGCTGTAAGCTGCAGCGGAAAGTCCTGGTTGTCCGTCCATGTGGACATTGGCTTTGTGCTGGGCCGGAGTTTACATGCACATCTGTTTTGCTAGCTTATTTGTGTGCATTTGGTTGTTCCTTGATGCTCGGGCAGATGCACTCTAACTTCTCAGGAAGCTCCCAGTTAGTCCACTCCTACGACAAGCTTGTTGGGGAGGCAATAGGTCTGTTCTTGTTTTTCCCACAATGGGGTCTCGTAACCCACACATGACAGATAAATATTAATTCTCATAAACACATCTCATAAATTCAACTGCCTCAAAAGCTCTTAGAGAACTTTATTTCCTTGAATGGGTTCTTGGAAATTTCATAGAAAATGACTAATTAAGGGTTTTTTACTTTGATGTCGTAATGCATCTGCCTGTGTGGTGAGGAACCAACAGTCTGCATACAAGTTTTTGGACCAAGACCATCATAAGGGAACGAACAACCAGAACCTACTGGAGTTTACAGCTGGTAATTGCTAAGAAGAACTTGATTTAAAGTTGATTCTGGGGGCCGGTATATCTTCCTGAGCTTGCTGTACAGAGTCTTGTGGATCATGTTCATTAGCTGGTTTGCTTAGTCTGTAAGGGTGAAGTAGATAGATGAAGCTTAGACATGCTTTGGGGGGAGGGGGGAGGAGTCTGTCCTGATGAGTGTGAACATAGGAAGTGCTGCAGTTCCATGGTATTTATACATGATTCTGTTTACATGAGAGAATTTTTCAACCATGCCTGTAATAAAATCCATTATGAGATATTGAATGGATGTTATAGCAGGGCATAATCCATTAGAAACAACACTCTAGCCAAATACATCAGATTGTGTTACCTTTATGAAGCAGCCAATGTTGCATTAGCTGAAAATTGAAATTGTTTTTTTTTGTTGAGTTGTCAAATGTTCCATGATACTTCTTATTCTGTGTTCATCTGAAGATGTGAATGCATTGTGTCTATTAACAACATGGTTGCCATTTTTTTGCTCCTTTTGGTTGACACTTTAAACATCTGCAGGCATTTGTTAACCAGGTTAGCCTTTTCCCAGTTAGTAGTGTGGGACATTGCAATCTCATTGTTATGTAGTTCCGCAGGCATTTGTTGCCATGTTAGCCTTCCAAGTTGGTTGCATGGGACATGCCACTCATTGGTGTGTGGTCGTCTTTGTTTCCTGATTCACAGGTGGTGATCCTCCTTCCCCACTTCAGGCTGGTCCAGAGCAGCCACATAAAGCTGGTCAGTCCTCAAGAGAAGGCGGGGGCAGAACATGAGCATTTCCCACCATCCAAGGAGGCTCTTATAAATGCATGTTCTGTGGTGAAATTTCTCCTGATTTGTTGGTGCACTGGTGTAGAAATGTTGAATAACGCTGATCTAGACAGCACAGCATGTCAACAAAATTATAGGTATACTTTTAATTAGGTTGTCATTGGTATTATCACCATGAGAGCTCTTCAATGATTACTGGGGGGACAAAAAAGGAGACAGTAAATGTGGAAATATCTCAAATGCAATAGTGTTCGTTCTTCAACTGTTTTAACATTTATTCTTTCAAATAAGACATGATTTGGTCTGAAGGGATTCCAGTGATAACACTGTATGGTAAAATTAATTAAAGAAAAGATTTTGATAGCACTGGCTAATTATGATAACAGTTTTAAAAAAAAGGATGTCATATCAAAAGTAACCACTAAACACAGGTTTTATGGTATAAAGGGATACAAACTCTCCAGGACTGTAGGATTAACATCTCAAGAATGAGAATCAAACAGGTACAAATCCCATAAACCCTGTTCAACTGTATATCTGTCTTTTCTAGAAGAAACAAACTCGACCACGTTTAACCTGCTGTTGACAGCCGAAGCTGCTAACAGTCTTTGGTTATATTTATGGTTTGGTTTATTTGTGCCACTTTCATTGCTAAGATTATGGTATGTATGCCGGCTCTCTGGCTTTGTGTCCCTATCCTGATCTACAAACCGCTCCTTCCTGCCTTTGTCCCCACGTGGTCCTTTTATCATTGTCTTCATGGGGTTTTCCTAGCCTAGTTCATCGCCCGTCCGGTTTAGTCTCCTTATTATCTTGCCCTTATGTCTTCTGTGGTATTTCAACTGTATAGCCATATAGCACAGTTATATTGAGACACCCACAAAACATTTACAAAGTAACCTGTCGTACATAATTTGTGTAGTCGCTAGGTTTTGTTTTTGGTTAGTCATTTATCCGTGTAATAGCTTTCTTGATCTTATTTCAGAACTTCGAACATTAATTTTTAATGAACTTTTTTTTTTTTTAAATTGCATAATTTCAGACTTCTATATCGTCATGATCATTGACCTTTGAACCTAGATGGACACCCGGCAGTAGACACTGGGGGCATGAAATGACGAATGACTTTATTTTGAATAATTATATCTTATCAATAACAGCAGCAGCTTCAGATCCAGAACCAAATAAAGAAGTTATTAACCAGTAAATGAAACAGAAAGCCAAGAATGCCACCATATTTTTTGGGGGGGCAGCCGTTTGCAGATGGCTATATAACTCACAAGAACGCCAGCAATATTACCATTTGCCCATTTGGAGTTCAGTGGATTTGGACAGTGCTGGGTGATTGTGTGAGCTCCCCACAAGAACAGGCGTCTGCTTACCTGGGCCTCATCTCCCTGGCCATATGGATGATGGTCAGTTTACCGTAAGTAATTCACATTTGGAATTTGTTAGTAAGCCAAAATAAACATAGATGACCCTTTTCTACATCTTCAGGCATATTGGGTTAGACCTATATATATATGACCAATCGGCACTTGGTGGGTTATGTGGTAATCATCATGCCAGCTGTCTTTTCTTCCCAGGACATACCAGTACCCACTCAAGGCAGGACCTAAGGAACAATGAACAAAGATACACTTGATTTCCTGGGGATTTTCCAACCAGTTATGCAAAGTGGCTTGGAAACCCCTTTTTGGCAGAAAAGAGAAAGGATAATAAACCTAAGAAGACACAGTTTCATGAACTCAGGTACAAAGGAGAGAGGGAGAAACTAGTTGCATGAGGTGTTTATACACAGCTAGCGAGCATACAGGGAGACACTTGTACTGAGACCGCCGCCAACGAAGGGTGGCTGTGGGAAAATAAATCAATTTTTGGCTGATGTTGATACGGTGGAGCTGAGTCCATACTTCTGTTGTGGAACTTGCCAGATAATGCATTAAACATTATGGATGTTATGTGACATGGCAGTTTCTGTCATGGTTGTACTGGGTTGGCAGTAGGTTAAATGGTCTCTATACTGCAATCGGCATTATGGCTAGATGGTAGTCGGTATTTGGAAGTAGAGAAGATAGTATCTAGACTAAAATTAGCACTATGGCTAGATTTTAGTCTGTATTTGGAAATAGAGTAGATGTTAGTCTGTATTTGGAAATAGAGTAGATGTTAGTCTGTATTTGGAAATAGAGTAGATTTTAGTCTGTATTTGGAAATAGAGTAGATGTTAGTCTGTATTTGGAAATATAGTAGATGTTAGTCTGTTTTTTGAAATAGAGTAGATGTTAGTCTGTATTTGGAAATAGAGTAGATGTTAGTCTGTATTTGGAAATAGAGTATATTTTAGTCTGTATTTGGAAATAGGGTAGATGGTATCAAGACTGCAATTAGCACTATGGCTATATTGTAGTCGGTATTTGGCTCATTATTTGTAGAGTATACATATCTAGTTGGCTTATTGGTAATAAATGATAAATAGCAATGAAGGAGATTACTATAAGTCACTTGTTAGTTGATCGTTGAGCAGAGTAAATACTGCTGTCAGTTTTGATGAACGATAGACTGTTTTATAACTTAGTAAAACATCTTTTGGTTGTGTAGTATGAGATATACGACTTTGTAATTCTGTTTCCTAATAAATAGGATTGTTAGTTGTTATTCTTTTATGCCATCGTTAGTTTGTTGAGTATAGGAGTGGTACTATTATTTATTTGTCATCGTCCTTATACCACTTTACTACACTATACTACTCTCTTTCATACCTCCACTGACTATTACCTGATTGTTTGGGGTGTAGACTTATTACTACACTCTCCACATAGGAGAACCTTTTGTCCTCTCATACATCCTTTAACTATTATTCTTCGCGTCTGTCTCTCTCTACTTTTATATCTCCTCTCTTATCTCCCCTTTAAAATGTACCCTGTTACAAGAAGCTGCAGAGAACAGACACTTTAGTAACAAAGATTATGCTGGGTATTACAGATGCATCAGCCATATGAGGCATCTGTGTTGAGGGGCAGACAAAGTGCATGCGGGGGTTCATAGCAAAAGCGAATGGATGTTGCTTAGTGCAGCGAAGCCTTGCATATGATACACAACTTCTGGTTTGGGAATTGAGGTGGAGGTGGTCTCCGCTGGCTTGAAAATCAGCTGTACACATATGACATGATTGTAACTGACTCACAGAGTATGTTGAGAATAGTGGAGACAGGCATGCCCGTGCAGAGTGGCAAGCATCCCTTCAGGGGTCCCAGGCATCACTTCAGGGGTCCCAAGTAGTTAACATCCTTTAGATTTTTTCTCCAGGTCATGCCGGTATGTTGGGAAATGATGAGGCAGATAGACTTGATGGTCAGTATGACAAGCTAGATATTGTTAGGGCTCTTTGGGAATAAGTGAACAGTAAGGACTCGCATATTGATCATTGCGGTCTGAGGAGAATGGCGCTGTGAGGAGTTACCAGGGGATCTGGACAACGCTCAACACTCAGTGAAAGGATGAAAAGGGTACACAATCAGACGGTTACTGGTGTGATCAGAATTGAAACTCTTCGCTTGCTGCTGAAGATGGGGAAGGAGCACTTATGGGAGTCTCTCAAGTGCTGTGATGTTGATTCTTAATTCACCATTCAATGTCCATACAAGGCAAGTGAAGTGGAAGGGTGTTCATTGTGAGTGCAAATGGGGAAAAACCATCAAGAGGATGAGTGAGGCCTTTGCTGTTACAGCCAGCAACCTCATAATGGAGACCATGGCTGCAACATGGGCGTTGGCATTCCTGGGTACTTAAGAATTCACACATGCATACATACTAAGGGACTCAATTAATTGAGTTGAGTCAAGAATTGACACAGCATTTGGGGCATTACCATGCGTGCTCCGTCCTCATCTTCAGCAGCCAGCGCAGAGTTCCAATACTGATGGTACCGATTACAATCTCGTTATATGTCCGTCTTGCCTTTCCTCTGAGTGTAATGATTCGGCAAGACCCTCTGGTTACACCCAGATGCCTCATTCTCTCCAGGCCATAATAATCTTCTTTCTGTACTGATTCAGTTGCTTGTTCCCAAAGGGCCTTGACCACATCTGCCTTGTCATTTATCAGTTCACCACCCAGTGATGCAGACTGACTCAATGAATATGATTAAGAAAAGCCAGTTGAGCTTTGCCGGGACAAGAAATTATTTTCTCATTAAATGCGAATAACTCACCCAACCTTTATCTTTGTGTCTGGCCATGTGGGTGTTCAAGACAGCACATATATTACTAACTGGAATGAGAAGAAGGAGGTTTCAGAATGGTAGTCTCCCTATGTCGGTTCAGGGGCCCCATTGTGGGGGAAACAGAAATAGACCCACTGCCTCCCCAACAAGCATGTCATAAGAGTCGACTAATTAGGAGCATACTTCGAAGTCAGAATACATCTGTCTGAGAGGCAGGCAACCAACAGTCTGCATGCAATTGAGTCAGACCTGTGAAAAGGATTTGCAGGCAACACTCAGTATCTGGAACAGGACTTGAGTCCAAAAGTGGACGAACAGCCCAAATTTTCCGCCAAAGTTACAGCCCGTGAACGCGAAAGAAGAAAAAGAGAATGGTAGTATATTCTGAAAGCAAGAGGAAGGCAAAGAGATCAATACCAGGATGGCTTAATCATATGGATGGAGTGAGACACAAATGAACACTGATCTGATCCAAGGTAAAGAAATGTGACAGCCTATGCACATCAGTAACAGAACATGATGATGATGATTTTGAAATTTCAGAGTAATTTATATCAAAATGTTTTTTTTTTTTTAAATCAAAACACAGTACTGAGGAATATAAAATATACATTTCCTAGGCAGGTGATAAAGAACTTCAGAAACATTGATGGTCTCGCTGGCATTTCCGTCCTATTGCTGCTGCAGTGGGCTGGCGGAGATATTACTAATTTGACGGGTGCCATTTTGACCAGCCAGCTCAAGCTTCAGGTAATTGTGTTTTTTTTTTTTATTTGAAATCTTGCTTGACTGGTTCTGTGCTCAAAGAGAAAATCATCGTCATCATCGTGTGCCCTGCCAACTGGATAGGCGCTCATGTGTCTCCACAGATCACAATCTCTGGTTGCCTGGAACAGCTGTCTTGATGATATCCCTCCATGCCATCATTTCAGCCCATCCAGCATCATCTCTCTTGGTCTGCCTCTACCCCCTTTCCACTGATCTTTCCAGTTGTCATGATGTTCACCAATGTCTCTCTTCTCATTATGTGGCCAAAGAACAGTGTTTTGTCTCTTTCTTATTAAAGATATCACTGTCGCCCAAAATATCTTCAAAATGTTGGTCATGTTCAAAACTTATGCCCGTATAAGAGAAATTGTGACCTAATTTTCATGTTGATTGCCAGATGGCATATATATTCATGTCTGTCCACTGATTGTGGTCCTTGACTTCTCATGCGGATTTTGGTGGAGCCCCATTTTGGTTGGGTAGGAGGGGGATAATAGACCCAGTGTCATGATTTTATTTTATTTTATTCAAGAACCGACATCACAGCATTCGGGGCATTCCCATAAGCACTCCGTCCCCATCCTTAGCAGCCTGTGAAGAGTTCTGATACTTATGGTGCCAGCAGCATTCTGATTAAATGTCCGTCTTGCTTTTTCTTTGAGCCTCGAGCATCTGCCAGAACCTCTCGTCACTACCCCCTGCATCAATCTCACCAGACTGTGGTGATAAATCTGCTCCTCCATACTGTACACACTTTCCCACAAGGCACTAACCACGTCTGCCCTATCATGTAGCAGTATTCCACCAAGTTATGCAGAGCCAGCCAGTCTGTCCGCCTGTTCATTTTCCAACACACCACCCTATCCCAGGGAAAAAATCCAGACAGTACTCCTCACCTGTGTCCTCCGCAGCGAAGCATGCCACTCTGCACGAAGCATGCCTGTCCTGATCTTCCTCAGCATGCTTTCTGAATCAGTTACAATCATGATGTGTGTTGAGTTCTATAACCAGCAGAAAGCTGCAGTGACTGCCTCCACCTCCATTCTTAAGCTGAATGTTGTGGTATCGTATGCTAGGCTCTCCTGCACCAAACGTCGACCAATAACTTTTGCTAAGAAACCCCAAGCATTTCTTTTGCCTCTTGACACTGAACCATCTGTGTAAATGATCAAATCCTCTGAGCGAACATTATCTTGAATTAATTGCTGAATTTCCACCTCCTTGGCACCTGCTGGCCAGTCTCTGCATTACCGACTCAGTGTGATTATGACTCCACACAAGTCTGACTGTTCAGATGCACTTTGACCCACTCCTCTCCTCGCCTAATGTCATAAAAGAGACTAATTAGGGTTTTGTCAAAATTGGGTGGGTTAGATCACTGATATCACAGCCTAGCTGTAAAGCACAACACAGGGCGATTACCACCCTTTTAAGGACTGATGCAGAAGTAGAAGAACAAATGGTCTTTCGCTCTCCGTGTGGATTCCGTGGCCCAATTGTGAGAAAAACAAAAATAGACCCACTGCCTTCCCAGCAAGCATGTCAAAGGAGTCGACTAAATGGCAACTTTCTTTGAAGTCGGAGTGCATCTGCCCTAGTGGCATGGAACAACCAACTGCTCACAAGTAAGCCTGTAAAACAAATGTTTTGGCACAAAGCCAAAATCCAGGACTTTCCACCGGAGCTTACATCCGATAAACAGAAAAGAAGAAAAAAGCCCTTTAAAGCATGAAATGAAAAGTGAATTCATCGCCACAGAGGGAGGGGAAAAACACAGGTATTTTATTACGACATACACTATAACTATAATCTTTTTGCACTGGAATCCATAGAGCCAAAGAATTCTTCTTCTTCTGCCTTTCTAACCCCCAGTGGAGCATCCGCCTCCAACCAACTAAGTCGTTCTATCCTTTCCTGTTGCATGCAGCTCTCTCCATGTCCTCCCCATCTTTTTAACCCCCCTTTCTAGCTCCCTTCTCCGTGTGTTTTTTTGGATTTCCTTTATTTCTGTGTCCTTGTGGGTACCAGTGCAAAGACATTCTAGTTATGTTTTCTCAGCTTGTGTCCTGTTCAACGCCAGCATCTTTTCAACACCTTTTGGTCCACTGGAACTTGTTTTGTTCTCTCCCAAAACTCTACATTAATGATTACAGGCAGATTTTTTTTTTTTTTTTAATGGATTAGGGAGTCAGTGAAGTGAAAATGATAGGCAGAATAGTAGATGAGCTGCATGCTGTAGCAAAAGTTAGGACTGCTTTTTATGAGGATTTAGGGCCATTAGGGAATAAAGGGCACAAGAAGAAAAATTAGATACATACTCAGCAGGAGATTGGTACACTTATGGTCATGTCCAATGTGCAGTGAAGATGATCTTTAAATGAACAGTGAAAATGATTATGCCGCATACACCAGAATTAGTAAGTTATCAGCTTGCTCTTTTTTTTCACATTCATTTTGTTATCACTAAAAGATATCTCTGTTAATTTCAGATCTATCTGGCCAGTTATTTTGTCCTCACAGACGTAGTTTTGATGACTCAGTACTGTGTTTTTATTCTGCGGAGAAATCGGAAAAAGAAAGAGGAACGTAGAGGTAAATATTACACTGTTAGCATTGAGGCTGCTGTGGTGGCACAGTGGCTAGATGCTTGCCTACCAGCCTGAAGTTCTTGAGTTTAAAAAATTGGCTTCTTTATTAACTCTCCTGGATTTGCAGCTATATGTTAAAACTGGCTCTAAATAGCATGCAAGATTTCTTTTTCTACCCTCCAGTAGCATGCATTTGTTGCATAAAATTGTATGTAGATACATATAACAATTATTGATCTATTTGGTTTTTATGCTTTTACCCTAGGCAGAGCAAATTAGAATGTAAGTTGTATTTTTTTATTGCTTCCGTATATTTAATTCTGCTAAAATTAACACAGATCTTCCCTTCTAGTTGCTCTTCTCTACTTGATCAGGTAGTCAGTTTGTCCCTCCTGGCTGCTACCTAAAGGTTTACCGCACCGTTCTGATAGTTTAAAAATCTAACTCTGCATGACAGACCAACAAGGTATATCACAGATACCCTGTTCAACCTTGAAGTTGTCGTTAGGACGCCTGTAACGGCTATACTGGCTTGGTGTAATCCATAATCCTGTACAAGTAAGGGCGCTATCCTTTGCCATCTAGTCTTCTTCCTCTTTACAGCTGTAAACTCCAGTGGAAAGTTCTGGTTGTTCATCAATTTCTGAACTTTCGTCTTGTTCCAGAACTTTAGTTTAAGACGGATCTGTCATATTCATTTGTAGACCGTTGGTTCCTTGCCTTTCAGGCAGATGCACTCCATCTTCGAAAGATATCTCGAAATAGTATATTATTGTTTTCTGGAACACGACCAAAGTAGAGAAGTGGATGGGCAGCTAGAACTTCCCACCAGAGTTTTTACAGTCAGTGAACACTAAGGAGAAAAAATGTTGACGAATTTGGCTGGGAACCCTGCAAGAATTAAATTTGTAATAAATTTGAAACAGCTTGTTAACATATTTTATTGCCATTTTCTGATGCAGCTGCAGCAGACCCAACCCCTCGACTGATCCTGTGTTTGTTGGGCTTTGCTGTCTTCTCTCATGGAATCTGCAGTCAGGTGGCTCCACTTCCCTTTCTAGAAGCATCTGTTCTAAAAAGTAACAATCTCCGAGGTGAACGGCCAGTCTTGAGATCACTACTTTCGATTGGAGAAGACAAAATGTCTTTACTCTATGCTTCAGAAGAATCAGATTCCAATCGTCTGCAGACCTTTGACAAGGTGACCTTGGGTACCCAAGGAGACACAGGATCTGTATTTTGGCATGTGAGTAACTCCAGAACACCAGACACAACCTATATAATATTTTTTTTTTAAACTCCTATTGGATGCCAAGGTACTAGATCACTCATGGAGGTGCACCAAGATCAGGGCTCGTACTGGACAGTACCTATCTGTAGCTCTCCACGGTCATCCTTGATGATTGAGGTCAGACATTTTAAAAAAGGGTTCTTAAATGTTAAAAGTGTACTATGTCCCATAGAAGTAATTGCTATAATTAATGAATTTCTTCATAAAGATTAAACTTTTTATGCGTACTGGGTCCTGCATAAATAATTGCTATAATTAATGAATTTCTTCACAATGTTCCAGCTTGTGATCCTGTAGGTGATAGATTATAGACTTGGCATGCTTATCATATCAAAGAGTCAGCTGATGAAACTTGAACGCATACAGAATGAAGCCATGCGGGTAATTCTTGGATGTATAAGAGATACCCGGGAGTATGTATGCGATATATAATTTCACAGCCTACTATTGCAGATAGGCTCACAGTTCTGCAAGCAAAGTCATATCTTAGAGTAGCTGCGGACAAGAGACACCTCCTGCATGAAGCCCTGGATATAGCTAAGGGGTCACAGACCGAAAAAAAAGGAAAGTCTTGGATGGCACAAGCTGAAGACACAATTAGACATGTGTGCAGGCTTGATAAATTTAGGGAAGGAGTTGAGTGGGTCAAAGTATCCTATCATGTTTCAGACTTGTATAGGGTTCTAATTACTTTGGGATGTGAGTGCAGAGACTGGCCAGCTGGTGATGCAGAATCAGAAGTTCAACAAATGATTCATGACAATTTCCGCCCAGGTGAAGTGATTGTATATACAGAAGGCTCTAATGTTGGACTGTTTGTATTGGCACTTCGGATGGCTGCTGTGTGCTTTTAATGTGTGTGTATGCTAGATATGCTGAGACAGCAGTCTGTCAATCTTTCCACAAGGGACTAAAAACATTCTGTGTGTTTTTCGTTGGCACAGGAGTGGAGCAACTATGGGATGACCCGTTTGCTATGAAGCTGAAGCTAAGATTACCAGATACAGATGGCTCTGTGTTGAGGGGCAGACAAAGTGCATGGGAGTTTAAAGCGAAGGCGAATGGGTGTCACTTAGCGCAACAAAGCCTGGCATCTGATATCACAACATATAGTTTGAGAATGGATGTATGATGTATGACAAGCTGAATGTTTTGAGGGCCCTTTGAGAGCGAGTGAACAATGCTGAGGAACAGATAGATCATTACTGTCTGAGGAGAATGGCACTGCGAGGAGTTACAAGGGAATCTGGCCGATGCTCGACAGGGGAAAGGCGAGATGGATATACAACCAGACAGTTACTAGTTCCATCAGAATTTTAACTCTTCACTCGCTGCTGAAGATGGGGACGAAGCGCTCATAGGGGTGTCCTGAGTACTGTGATGTAGATTCTCAATTCAACATACATTAAGATTTAACTTTTAAAGTGTGCTGTTTCCTCCAGAAATAATCGCTATAATTAATGAATTTCCTCATAAAGATTTAACTTTTAAAGTGTGCTGTTTCCTCCAGAAATAATCGCTATAATTAATGAATTTCCTCATAAAGATTTAACTTTTAAAGTGTGCTGTTTCCTCCAGAAATAATCGCTATAATTAATGAATTTCCTCATAAAGATTTAACTTTTAAAGTGTGCTATGCCCTGCAGAAATAGTTGCTATAATGAGTGAATTTCTCCATAAATATTTAACTTTAATAGTGTACAGGGTCCTACAGAAATAATTGTAATAATGAATGAATTTCTCCACAGGATAAAATGAGCATTGCTGGTTACATTATTGGAATCATGTCCTCTGTCTTCTACCTTGGCTCCCGACTGGCACAGATTTATAAAAATGTAAGTTATCTCTCTCTCATTCTTGACTATAATTCAATGACTAATAGCAGGATGGTTTTGCTGATGCACATTTCCCATTTATGAACAGGGAATTCAAAGAATCTAATTCCTAGTTGAGTGCTCGTTGTGACACTGTGAACTGTGGATTTCGTGTGGAATGGTTTTTGTTTGTTGTGTTGTTGTTGACTGAACCAAAATGATGGATGGCCGATTATGTTCAGAAAGCATGCACTTTTGCAGGTGTAATGGCAGTTTTTTTTAAACTGACCAGTTGCGTCAACAGTGAGCTGCAGTTCTGGTGTGGGATTGTTAATGTTGGCACATCTTACAGCTACCATATGTATTTTGTACTTTGTGTGTGCAAGCTTCAAGATTTTGCTAGAACTTAACAAGTTTTTCACTAGTTTTCAAATGGAAAAGTTGAAGGTCACTGTGTGATTTCCACTGGCACAGAAACAGCACAGTTATAGCGGTGACCCATGTTGGAACCTTGACTATTGAATTTATCCTGCACTTTCTCATTCATGCTCTGTCTCACTCTCTCGTACTCTTTTCCTTTCACATACTACTTCTCATGCTGTGTCTCAACTTCTTTCCCTGTCTCACTCTAAGGTAATATGCAGCTCTCTATATAGACATTATTACAATCTGGCACTCCCACAAAAGTGGTTATTTCCTCTCTCTCTTGAAGATTTTGTGTTTTTCGATATACAGAGAATATCACAATGTATGCATAGCTTGGCACAGAAAAGAGTTTGCGGTTGTTCTCTATACCGAAAACATTATAATTTGCAAAGGTTTGACACACAAAAAGAGGAAATGTGTTGTGTTATCTACACAGAGAAGATTTCAACCTACACAAGGCTTGGCACAAAAGAGTTTATATGCTCTTGTTGTCTATACAGAGAAGATTACAATTAACACAAGACTAGGCAAAGAAAGAGTTAATGTTTGGTTATTTCCTATACAGAGAAGATTCCCAGCCTACATTGAGTTCAACACAGAAAGAGTTAATATCTCACTGCTCTTGGTACAGTTCTAGATGCAGTAGAAATATTCCAAGTCTGGCTCGTTGGCATTCCAGAGGAAACAAGCGGAATGGATCAGTGGAGGCCATGTGTCACACCTTGTTTATTGTTTATTTGACGGATCAACACTATGGCACACAGGTGTCATCCATAAATGCTCCATTCTACTTCTAACTCATGCCTGAGTCTGAAGAATCTCAGCGAAGTCTATGAACTTCGTTGCTCCAGCCGGCATCCTGAAATACTTAAGTTAGATTTTTAACTCAAAATTTTGCCCAAGCACCGCCGTTAGGCTACTTTTTTTCGATTTCTAACTGCCAAGAGATATTTTATGTGTGCAAGAATACACACGTGTGTTCAATCTTCCTACCCAGGGACCAGGGTAAAATTACTAGAAGTCCATGTGAAAAAATCTAAGCCTTCACTGAGGCTTGAACCCGGGACCTCCAGCACTTGAGGCGGACACTATACCTCGAGACCACTCAGCTCCCAGATGCGTCACACATCAGCCTTCTTAGAGGCCTGTGGCCTCATCTGAATACTGGCAGGGAGTACCAAAGAAAAAGGAGAAAATTTTCTGCAAACAGAGAAGATTATATTCTACATAGAGCTTGGCACAGAAAGAAATAATGTCTGATTATTCTCTATACAGAGAAGAAGATAGTTTGTTAATTTTGTTACCAAAAAAAGAGTTAATGTGTTATTGTTCTCTGTACACAGAAGATGACAGTCTGTTCTTGAATGAGTACAAAGAGAGTTAATGTGTGGTTGTTTTCTATACAGAGGAGATTATAATCTACACAAAACTTGGCACAGAATCATGGTTATTCTTTACACAAAGAGTCAGCAAGTCTCTTTCTTGAAAACCATCTTATTCGTCTTGTTGGTTCTAGCTCACCTAAGTGCCTTAATGTCCAACACAGCTTTATTTAAAAACATTTTGAATTATAACCCTTGCTACCCCTACCTCTTCTCCTGTTTAGTACCCTGTTCCTGTGTCACCCGTGACAGTGTTTCTACATGTTATGGATATTTCTTTTAGAGACTTTTACTTGCCGATAAGGGATGTTGTGAAGTCTTGTTTTGTATGATTGTCCATTTATGTCATATGGTGATAAAGTCTTTTTGGCAACAGTGTTCATCTGGGATATTTTGAGCTATGTTCTGCTTCTCAACTTGATTGGTAGCTTTTCATGGTATATAGGATTTTATGTATTACTTTTTAGTCACAGTGTTCATATGCTGATTTGTTCAACTTTTTCTTTGCTTTGGTAGCTTTTCATGGTATATAGCTTTATACAGCCTTGTATGGTGTATAGCTTTTCATGGTATACAGTTTTTCAAGGTATTTAGCTTTTTATTGTTTCTTCTTCTTCTTTTCTTCCACCTTGTACCTCGTTGATGAGCTCTGTCAAGAGCACTGTTAAGACTGATGTTCATTTCTGTAAGGCTGTTCTTAATGCCATCACTCCATATTTTTCTAGGTCTTTCACTTGCTCAGTACCCGTTGTAACGTTTTAGTATGGCTTGCTGTGGCGGATAGTACCAGGGCATTCTTGTTAGGTGTCCAAACCACTTCATTTGTAGTTCTTTGATGATATGTAAGACTGGCTTTATTCCTAGCATTCATCTGATTTCATGATTTGGTATTCTGTCTTTCCTTGAAATGTCTGCAGCTCTTCTAATTTCATTGTATACAGGTTTTTATGGTATTTTTGCAGAGAAAATTACAGTCTACACAAGGCTTGGCAGTGACAACGTTTATGCTGGCGGTCATCGGAAACATCACGTACGCTGCTCAGATCCTGGTCCGAGACGTCAGCACCGAGTTCCTCCTGGAGAAGACACCATGGCTGGTGGGCAGTTTAGGTATTGTTGGCTTGGACTGTACAGTATCCTTTGCAAGAAATCTGTCGTTATTTGAAAGTTTGTAGTTCACAGGGTCTCCCCGACTTACAGCCAAGTTACGTTCTGACTATCAGGTTGTAAGGTAAACTGATCGTAAATCGCATTTATATTTTTCCACATAATGATTGTATTATTCGAGCTGGTTATAAAAATTTGTACATAAAACACAAAAAGTCATCTGTGTCAGTGATTTCCAAACTGTGCGCCGTGGTGTCCCTGTGAGCCGCTACCTCTTCACAAGGGTGCTGCGAAATATTTGAAGATACACGAGTTTTATTTTTTTTTTTTTTTCATCTTGGACTTAAAGAAGAAGAAGTTTATGGTGATAAGTAGAGGTCGCTGATGGAGGGCACAGCTTCAGGTAAACGAGACAGGCAGACCTCCGCAAAGGTGGATGCAAGACATTGAAAATGTATTGGTTATTAAAGCACATAGGGCTATTGAATCAACTAGACAAATAGAGACTTTCAGGCGTGCTGTGAGGTTCAACACAGACCCTGCTGGAGAGAAGAAAAACATCTGAATGTAGACATAATTGCCAAAGTCTGCCTTAAACCAGGTGTCTAAAGAGGCAGAACAAAGCAGAAAATGTATGTGTCTGCTGAAATTGCTTGTACCGTTTGCTCAGTCTACCCACAGGTGAGCAGGTGTTTGCATCTCACTTTGGTCCCTACCCATTGACTGTCTAGCTTAGATGCCGTTGTCATTGTCATAGGTCTCATTGTCATAAGTCCATTGTCATGGGTCCTATTGTCATAACTCTGGATCAGTGACCCATGCAAGCTTTTCTGCCACAAGATAATGGAGACACTAAAGAGTGTTCTTTTGTTCTAAGTAGAGTGTTTTTTTCTCTCTCCCAGCTGGTATGGCTCTGAGATTTTCCCATGTGGGTTCCAGGCCCAATTTGGGGGTGGGGGAGATAAACCTACCCCCACCCCCTAACAATCATGTAGTAAACATCAACTAATTAGGGGTGTTTCTTTTGAGATCAGAGTACATCTGCCTGAGAGGCGAGGAGCCAGACCAGAACATTCTGCCAAAGTTTACACCTGGTGAATGCCAAGAAGAATGAGATTTTTCTGTGGAAGGTAACAGATTTCTTGTTCCTGTTGTCCTCTGGTGCAAGGCTTGGTATGTGCTACTCTTCTTTGAAAGGTTGAAAAGCGAAAATTAGTAGCCTGCCAGAAACCTGTTAGACTTCCAAGCCATCTGCACCTTTAGACAGTGCACACTGGAAAAATGAAGCAGCGAGGTCTCAGGCTAATAGGGCTCTGGCGGATGAGATCCATTTGGTTACTTTAGATTTTGTGTGTGGAACGATTCTCCTGGTTTTTTTTTTAATGTAAAAGATAATCGCTAATTTATTTTGGCCCAGAATTTGGAAATAAATATTTTAAACACATTCCATATATAAGACAAGCTCCAGTTTAAAATTTGGGAAAATACATCATCTCTTATACATGGGAAAATATGGTAAATACCCCCTTAAACTGCAACAGGCCTAGCAAGCCAGCAGTGGCCTAAATCTTGCTTCAACGAAACAATAAGGTGACACGACAGGTAATATTCTGAAATGTTACCTTAACTCACACAACAGCTGCTGTTCCAATTTCACTATTACAGCCGCAGACATCGGGACCTGGGAGATATAAGCAGAGCTCTGCTTAATAAAGAATATGTCATCAATGCTGACGAGGGATATACAAATGAATTTATATACTGAGTTATCTTGGTGCGTTAGTGTATGAGTAAAAATATAACAGCATAAATTGAACCACCTTGCCACACCTTCTTGTGTATCTTCTTCTTCTCAAAGTCCATGCCGTGTGGTGGTGGTAGTCATGTCTATCCACAACCTTCTGTTTCGTGTACTTTCAGTCAGATCCTACACAGATGATCCTTAATGCCATCATTTCACACTGTCCAGCTTCTTCCCTCTCAGTCTCCCTCTGCCTCTCTCCCCCCTCCAACTTTCCCACTGTCACGATGTACCCCAATTATCTCCTTTTGATGTAGGTATTCAGTTCTCTTCATGAATCACTTCAAGACATTTTCATTACTCTTTTTATCTGTCCCGGGTATTCTTACCCACTATCTTGATTCATCAGCTCTTCTTTTCGTGACCATTATTGGCTCCCTTTCTCTTACTCTTCACATTCTTCTATTGAGACTGTGAGTTATGTGTTATCTTCACGACACTCCGGACATGTCCCAAGGTGCACAGATTCCCCATTCAGCATTTACTTCAGTCTCCTGTGGTTAATAGTGCCAGTCCTATGCTGGTTGACAAGACTTCTCGTATTTGTGGAGTGCCACTCATATCATTCAATAAGTCAGGTGCCATCTTCACAGTGAAGGTTGCCTTCAATGGATCTCCAACACACTCTGTCTGTTGTCCTGCTTGTACACTCTATCAGACTGCTGCACGTCCATCTCTTGATATTATCCTCCCACTTGTATCATTGCCCACATCTTGCTGTCATTCCCTCCAGTATGGTTTTAAAAAGTGTGGTATGTCTTTTAATGTGGCCAAAGTATTTCAGTTGTCTCTTTTTTATTTATTTCAGCAATTCTCTACTTATTTGTAGTCTTTTCAGAACCTCTGCATTAGACAGTTTCTGTTTCCATGAAATATGACCTATTTATTCTTCTATATACTCAGACTTCCAGAGACTCAATTTGATTTTCTAGTTGCTTGTTCATTGTTCAAGTTTCTGCACCTCTTGTATCTGGCTATGCCAGTTCACACTCCTAGTTTTCGCATTATTTCCAGTGATGTGGATTCACTGCTCCCAACATCCTCTGATCCTCCTATCTCTCTGAGGTCATAAATAATGCAGAGCTTGCAAGTCTATCAGCTCTTTCATTGCTAACAACACCTGCATAACCTGTGTCAAAAATGAAGGTAACTCCATGCATTGTGGTGACAGACAATTAAAATGTTTTCTGATGTATTGTTCTTGGAAACATAATCATGAAGCTATTTGCCTCCACATTCTGAATTTCTTTTAATTCAAATGTCATTTGAGAGTTTTTTGTTTTGTTGTTATATTAAGGTGTCTCAGGTTGAAGTTTTTACAAGAATCAGTAAAAAAAAAAAATTTCACTTGTAGTATTTTAATTTTTGTGTGTGCACTTTATGTACATTTGGCCTTTGCCAGATTTTTTTACAGGTAAATTATACAGTCAGTATCTTTCCTGACATTTTTTGTTTCCATCTCTATATCCACACTGTTATTTGTGATCTTGCTTTTCTCAATCTAACCTTTGTATGTGTATGTGTGTGTGTGTAATTATTCTGTCTGAGTACTTCTTTTTCTTCTACATTTGTCGTTAAAATGGCCGTTGGCACACTGTGTTATGGTTGCCAGCTAAGCTGCAAAATCTGCGCCTTTCGGCCCAGCATGTCAGAATTCAGCAAATCCCTAATTATTCACCTTTTATAACATGCTTAACCCTTTCTCCCCACTAGTGCTTTAAAAGTTGGATCATGATGCCGTCTAAATTCCATTTTTAAAATCATAAAATAAGTAACAAATTTTACGCAGGTAACTAGTAAATTTGACCTTGACTCCCAGGTCGACCCTGTCTTGAGTGGGTACCGGGTGCAGTCCGGGAAGTTTAGGGTGGCCGGCGTGGTGCTGATCACATCACCCATCTTGCGCCGATTGGTCTATAAAAATAGAAATCTAGCCCTTTATGCCCTATACGCCTAAAGGCGTGGAAAAGAGAATTTCCTTTTTTTTAACTAGCAAATTGGTAACATGTTTATTCACCTACATGTTCTTTATAAATATATAACGATAAATAAAGAAAGTAGTCAAAAAACATGAACAGACTGAAGCATTAAATTGTATACATTCCCCAGAGCTCGAAAAAATATATTTCGATGCTCATGCCCTATGGCTATAGGAAAATGGGACTGCTACTTAGCTTTAGAAAAAGCTGTTTGGCACAAAGACAAATGCTTTTGAATGCTATTTTTAGTTAATGAAGTCATACCATAATCTCTTAAACTTTTGGGCTGCAGCGAAAACAGCTATAGCATTAACTATGCGTCTGATAAACAGATTATCATAGACAAGTCGGGAAAGTGACCTTTACAGGGAATTGAGCCCAGCCGGAGTGTCAGTTTTGCAGGTTCCTGGGATGAAAGGGTTCAGGGACAGTGGGTGAATTTTTTTTCTGTGGCATCGAAATTCACAAGGGGGCTATTTGATTACAATTTTAGGGAACTACAGAATAGCGCTCTTGTTTCTAGCCTATGTTGCGGTAAGGTGTTTTTTTTAAATCGATGGGCTCCTATTTTGACCTAGCCTAAAAAGGTACCAGGAAGTCCTCTGGGAAGTAAAGTCTGACAGCATGATATTGACATCTCCCAATCAGTGCCCGACGCTATTTTCAAATAGTGGGCTAGCAGTATATGTCATCTAAGACGAAAAAGATAATTATCAAGAGCTATATAAATTATGTCCTGATATACGCAAGTAAATCATTGACAGTTGGACGATTAGTGAAAAATTATTTAGGGGTGGCGGAGATGTAGTTTTTACAGCCAAGTGATAAGAGTACCCTAGACGGATGAAGGGAGTGGTGAGTACATCTTGAGAGAAGCTCACCTGCAGGTAGGATGACTGATTGCCCACATTTGGGGTATGTGTGGAGGAGCAGTCTGCATTTTGGTCATGTCATGAGAGGGAGAAGACTGGAGTACATCGTGATGGTGGGAAAGCGGGAGGGGGGGTGGATGGAGACCAAGAGAGAAGACGCTGGGCAGTTTGACATCATGGCATGTATGATCATCTGTGTCGGAACTGATTAAAAGTATACAAGGCTGTGGATACACCAAACTACCAGCACCACACAGCATGGACTATAAATGCCAAATACAGTTCAAGGTGTGGGAACTTCTTCCTTTACTTACAGTATTTTATTTCCATGTGAACATTTGCAATTATTAGTTGTGCTTGATCTTTTTTAAGCTAGTTTTAACAGCTTCTGTCCCCAACAATACACCATGTGTGATTGACTGTAGTCAATGTGTATTGAGCAATATGCTATAATTTTTACATCTGGTTTGAGCTGGCCAAAAAAATCTGGCTTCACAAAAATAGGACACAGTTAATGTTGTCTCGTTGAATGAAATACAATAGAACATCCCCCCCCCCCTTTCCCATTTTTTTTTTAAAAATTGTCTTTGTCAATCTGGTGCAAAATTTTCTAAGGCTGAAAGAATTGAAGTATTTTATGTACTTGGCTTAATGATTTTAAATTTGACATTTTCACTTGGTGTCGTTTGCTCTTATTTTACACATTTACTTAATTTACTTACAGTCTATTGACATTGCTTACATGTTTTATTGTAAGTTACTTTTACAGAATTCCTAACTTGATATTTTTTAAATCAAAATCATGCAGTACTTTGAAACAAAATATTTATTTTCCAAGTGCCAGGCCAGTTAGCAGCACACTTGGTCCCCATGTGGGTTCCCGAGACCCATTTTGAGGGAGAAAAAAGAATGAACCCTTAACAAGCATGTCGTAAAAATCGGCTAATTAGGTATGTTTCCTTGGAAGTCCAAGTTCATCTGCCTAATAGGTGAGGAACTAACAGTCTGCATACGGATAAGCAGATCTGTAAAATGGATGTGCATGCAAAACTCAAATCCTAGAAGATAACTAAAATCCAGAGGTGGACGAACATCCCGAACTTTCTACCAGAGTTTAAAGCTGTGGAAACATGAAGAAGTCCTATTTGCCTCCTCCACTTCACCACAAGTAGATCTGATTGAGTAGACTATGGTACTGTGATTATTACTTTTAGTGCAATAATAATTGTTTTTCGCTGTTCGTAATTTGGATATTCTATGAGACAATCTTTTTTCTTGTGTTTTATATGATTAATATAATATAATTTATAATGATTAATATAAGACAGCCTGGCATATACCACAACATCTAGCATGAGAATGGAGGTGGAGGCAGTAACTGCAGCTCTCCGGTGGCTAGAGAAAAAGATGCATACACATGTCATAATTTACTGGAAAGGCTAGGCTATGCCGGCGTGGTGGGTAATAAACAGGCAATTAGCTGAATCTGCACCACTGGGGGATGAATTGATACATGACAAGTCAGATGTGGTCAAAGCCCTTTGGAAACAAGCAACAGAATCAGTAGAAATAGAAGATTATTATGGCCTGGAGAGAATGAGGCATCTGGATGTAACCAGATGGTCTGGCCGGCTCAATACACTCAGAGGAAAGGCAAGATGGACATATAACCAGATTGTGACAGGTACCATCACATCAGTATTGGAACTCTGTGCTAGCTGCTGAAGATGCATGGGAATGCCCCGAGTGCTGTGATATCAATTCTTGACTCAGTTTATACACAGTGTGCATGTAGCTGTCTTGCTTTACCAAAACTTCATGTGAAGTCTAGGATTGTTTCATTTATTTTAATGTCCTGGGAATTATTGTTTACAGTGTTACAATTTTAAAATACAGATGTTAGATAATGGAGGGGTATATGCCTGGGAAGAGAGGAAGAGGAAGGCCAAGGAGAAGATGGGTGCAGGATGTGGCAGATGATCTCCAGATGGGTGTATCAGACGCAGGACATCTTGCTCATGATAGGAAGGTTTTCCGGAGGGTTGTTATGGCAGCGAGGTTCCGCGAGGGACATGCTACTGAATGAATGAATGATGTTAGATTACTGTTATTAAATGTATTTTGTTCTAAATGCTGTTGAGCTTTTGTTGTGTATTCTGGAAAGTTCTGGTTGTTTGTCCACTTCTGGACTGCAGTCCTGTTCCAGAACTTGAGTGTTGCGTGTGCATCCGTTTGACAAATCTGTATGCAGACTGTTGGTTCCTTGCCTCTCAGGCAGATGCACACCGACTTCGAAGGAAGCTCCCAATTAGTCGACTCTTACGACATGCTTTTTTTAGGCAGTGGGTCTATTCTTGTTTTTCCCAGAGTAGGGAACCCACACAGGGAAGTGCCAGGAATGTTGTAAAGACTACATGGCTCGTCAACTTCCTGTTAGCCCCAAATGTTAACATTTCAAATCCACACCCAGGTGAATTAATTTTTTTTTCAGAATTGACCTTGGTTCGACCAGATAAGGCCATGGGAAGTAAAGACGGCCAGCCTGATACTCTCATTACCCATTAACTCTTTGAGTCCCAAGGAACGCATCATACTTTCATAGGTTCCCGCCCAGAGGCCCAGTGAACACAAGATGCTCCGATTTTACTTCTCTTTTGACTAGCCCTTGGGCCTCTGATGCTAAACCCCCTGGGGCCAGTGAGTATAAAAAGATAGGTCTAGCACTATGTGTCCAATTCACCAAGGGCGTCGAAGAGTCCTCTATTCACGTATGTGGCTCCTAGATCTGTGGTAGGACAGTGGCTGGTACACTTGCCTGTACCCACTGGGACATGCCAAGGTGACAGGGAAAAAAAAGAGCTGACAGACTGACCGTAGCTCCCTCATATCTGTTGTCCTATGTTCAAAGGTTAACCAAGACTAAAATGGGTTTTAGGAAATGTTTTGGAAAGTAAAGACAGACTGCGTGACACTGATTGTGTTGGTTAGCACTTAATGCTACAGCGGAATATGAAAGGCAGAAGAAAAAGTAGGGTGCTTTCCTAAAGTCCTACCCCAAACGGGGAAAAATCCACAGATCACGGGACAGTCTAATATTTCAGGGGGTGGTAAATAGGGTGTATGCAGTTGTGGGACATAGGTGGGTTTGGGTTAGGACCAGTTCTAGTTTTTTTGGGGTCGTTAAAAACATTAGAAAGCTGGGAAACCCAGTCTTAACACCCTCAAAAATGTCGGACTGTCCTGTGACGTCATATGGAGTAGAATATTATGACGTCATATGGAGTAGAATATTACGAAAGAACCAAAGTAACAACTGATGGAAATGAAAGAACAGTCAGTAGAAACAGTAACAAATAGAATATTAGAACAAACAATTAATGGAAAAATTCAACAAATGATATGAAAAACTGGCAATTAATGGAAACAGCACACCCCCCCCCCCTCCCCCAACTCAATAAAAATACGGAATTTAAGAACAATCAATGGAAACAAAAATACCATGTCAGGGAATATAAACAAAAGGAACATGTTTTATTGTCTTGTATTTTGCACAAACCAAATTTTAAAAATCATTGAATAATAAAGTAAAGCAAGTCAATAAACCAATCATGAAGACCTATCTAACATGTCTGTCTGACCCTATATTCCCCTTCTCTACACATGCTTGGGGGATAAGAAGCACACTATCTCTTCTTTTTCCTTCTGTGTTTATCTGAAGACATAAATGCACTGTGCACGTTTACAGCACGGCTGTGATATCTGCGCCTCTCCGCCGACACATCTGACTTCTTCAGGCATTTGTTGCCAGGGTTAGCCTTTCTCCAGAAGCCCATTTTTAGATATGCCTTTATAATCCCAGGCAAAATTCTCGTATCCACTTTCAGATGATATACTACTTAACAGAAAGAGTTAACCCTTTCACCCCAGGTACACTTAAAAAAAAAATAGGTCATGACCCTATTGGAATTACAAGAACTAATCTGTAAAAACAGCAATTTTTTTTCATAGGTCACTAATAAAGCTGTTATTGTATTTATCAACATTTTCATTTATTTTTTCAAAATATATAAAGATATATGAAGGGAGTAATCAAAAAACATGAACAGGGTGAAGCATTAAATGGAATACATCCCCCAGGGTCTTAACAACAAATGTAACAGGTGACTCATGCCATGACTCTGTGACCTCAATCACCGAGGCTTATGAGACAATCTAATCTCAACTTGGCTTTAACAAAGCAGGTGCAAACTCAGCAAATAGCATTAATTATGCATCTTATAAACAGGTTTGATTTGATTTGATTCAAGAACCGACATCACAGCACTCGGGGCATTTCTATATGCGCTCCGTCCCCATCTTATAAACAGGTCACTACAGACAAGTCAGGAAAGTCACATTTACAGAGAACTGGACCCAACCAGGAAGTGGGGGGGGTGTTTAAATTATAGATAAATGGGTTAATGAAACAAGTACATGAGACACTGAGTTAAGAAAGGTCTACCCTGTGTGCGTTTACTATGACAAATTTCTTTACACTGTATGGTTCAGCCTCTACACAGGGCATTCTTTTTTACCCCTATAATAGGGCCCCGGAACCCACACGGTGACGACAATAGATTAATGGATGTTATCTCATGAAATAAGTGAAAAATAGGTATACTAATGCAAACAGTGTAAGTCAGTGACACTAACACTGGGGCTGAGTGGTCTCGAGGTATGGCATCCACCTCGAGTGCTGGAGGTACCGGGTTCAAACCCCGGTGGAGGCTGGGATTTTTTCAAGTGGACTTCTAGTAATTTTCCCTGGTCTCTGGGTTGTAAGACTAAACGCCCATGTGTATTGTTCAGCATGTAAAATACATTGGCAGTTGGGAATCACACCAAAAAAAGCAGCCTAACCTCACTGCCTCAGCAACATTTTAAGTTCAAAATCTACCCAAAGCATTTTCAGGATCCTTGCTGGTGCAACAGAGTTTGTTCACTGCGCTGAGATTCTTCAGACTCAGGCTTGAGATAGAAGTAGAATGGAGCATTTATGGGTTGATGTTGATTCATTGAATAAACATAAACCAACACAAAAAGAGACAATTAGACAAAAATATGCAAGCACATGCACAGATATGCGCACATACACGACTTTCATTAACCATTCATACTTTCAGTAGCAAAAACATAATCACACAAACTTGAACTTTAAACATTAACAAACATTCTGCTACCAATATTTAAATAAATTCTGAAGACTAGCTATCTCCCGAGACCCTTCCATCTTGTGAACTCTTCGACGCTGCGTCTTGGAAAGCCTTTGCAACCTCGGGATTTTCCTCAGCAAATTTTTCAGCAGTGTTTTGTTGTAACCAATCCGAATTGTTGATCTGCTGGCCCAGAGTTGTCAGTAGTTCTTCCAGAGTTTCTCGCCCTGAAGTTGAAAAATAGGATTTGAAAATAAATATATATTTGAACACAAAAGACATCAACAGACTGCACAATTTATATAAATAAAATATGTAATACGCTGTATCTTTCTTTTTTTTTTGTATAAATTGACAATGGGGAAATACTGCTTTTATTTTCTGAACCAAAATAATTTTTTTTATTTAGTGTATAAGACAAAATCCCTTGAAGTTCGAGTAGACCTGCCCGTGAGGCAGGGAACGGCAAAAGTCAGTAAAACGGTTGTCCACGTAAAACTCGGGTCCAGGTAAAAGCCAAAAGTCCAAATGGACAATCTACCTAGACCTTCCACCGGAATTCACAGCTGGTGAACGAAGAAGAAGAACATAAGGGGAGGGGGGGGGGGGGGAAGAGTATAAAAAGTGACTTCTTTCCATTGTTTAAACAAACTTTCCCTTGCTCTGAGTTCATTGTGTTTTTTTAATGTGGCTTTTCCCCATTTTGTACTTTTTCAGTGTAGCTCTTCCCCATGTTGAACTTTTTCAGTGTGGCTCTTCCCCATTTTGTACTTCTTCAGTGTGGCTCTTCCCCATGTTGTACTTCTTTAATGTGGCTCTTCCCCATGTACTTCTTCAGTGTGGCTCTTCCCCATGTTGTACTTCTTTAATGTGGCTCTTCACCATGTTGTACTTCTTTAATGTGGCTCTTCCCCATGTTGTACTTCTTTAATGCGGCTCTTCCCCATGTTGTACTTCTTTAATGCGGCTCTTCCCCATGTTGTACTTCTTTAATGTATGTTGTACTTCTTTAATGCGGCTCTTCCCCATGTTGTACTTCTTTAATGTGGCTCTTCCTCATGTTGTACTTCTTTAATGTGGCTCTTCCCCATGTTGTACTTCTTCAGTGTGGCTATTCCCCATGTTGTACTTCTTCAGTGTGGCTCTTCCCCATGTTGTACTTCTTTAATGTGGCTCTTCCCCATGTTGTACTTCTTCAGTGTGGCTATTCCCCATGTTGTACTTCTGTGGCTCTTTCCCCAGTGTGGCTACTTCCCCATGTGTTGTACTTCTTTAATGTGGCTCTTCCCCATGTTGTACTTCTTCAGTGTGGCTATTCCCCATGTTGTACTTCTTCAGTGTGGCTATTCCCCATGTTGTACTTCTTCAGTGTGGCTATTCCCCATGTTGTACTTCTTCAGTGTGGCTCTTCCCCATGTTGTACTTCTTTAATGTGGCTCTTCCTCATGTTGTACTTCTTTAATGTGGCTCTTCCCCATGTTGTACTTCTTCAGTGTGGCTATTCCCCATGTTGTACTTCTTCAGTGTGGCTCTTCCCCATGTTGTACTTCTTTAATGTGGCTCTTCCCCATGTTGTACTTCTTCAGTGTGGCTCTTCCCCATGTTGTACTTCTTTAATGTGGCTCTTCCCCATGTTGTACTTCTTCAGTGTTGCTCTTCCCCATGTTGTACTTCTTTAATGTGGCTCTTCCCCATGTTGTACTTCTTTAATGTGGCTCTTCCCCATGTTGTACTTCTTTAATGTGGCTCTTCCCCATGTTGTACTTCTTCAGTGTGGCTCTTCCCCATGTTGTACTTCTTTAATGTGGCTCTTCCCCATGTTGTACTTCTTCAGTGTGGCTATTCCCCATATTGTACTTCTTCAATGTGGCTCTTCCCCATGTTGTACTTCTTTAATGTGGCTCTTCCCCATGTTGTACTTCTTCAGTGTGGCTCTTTCCCATGTTGTACTTCTTCAATGTGGCTATTCCCCATGTTGTACTTCTTCATTGTGGCTCTTCCCCATGTTGTACTTCTTCAGTGTGGCTCTTCCCCATGTTGTACTTTTTCATTGTGGCTCTTCCCCATGTTGTACTTCTTCAATGTGGCTATTCCCCATGTTGTACTTCTTCATTGTGGCTCTTCCCCATGTTGTACTTCTTCAGTGTGGCTCTTCCCCATGTTGTACTTTTTCAGTGTGGCTCTTCCCCATGTTGTACTTTTTCAGTGTGGCTATTCCCCATATGGTACTTCTTCAGTGTGGCTCTTCCCGTGTGGGTTCCAGGACCCGATAATGGGGAAAAGAAGAACAGACCCACTGCCTCCCCAACAAGCGTGTTGGGGCCTCCTTTAAAGTCGAAGAGCATCTGCCCGAGCGGCAAGGAACAACCAACTGTACACACAAAAAGCCATCAAAGCAGATGTGCATGCAAATATCAGGCCCTGGCACAAAGCTAAAGTCAAAATGGATAAACAACCGGGATCTTCTGCTGAAGCTTACAGCCGGTGAACAAAGAAGAAGTTTGTGGCTCTTTGTGGAAAGTCCTTCCCCACACAGGACTGTAGGTTACACCTGGTTGGTGCAGGCTTTATGAGTGCCCTAATTATCACCTCTTTGGAGGATGAACAGGGTTTCTGCCTGGTTTTTCTATCATTCAGATTGAGATTTTTTCATAATAGCAGGGAACAAACTGATTGACTTGATTTGTGGCTGGTGGTACCAGAGCTTTCTCATTAGATGGCCAAACCATCTCATCTGTTGCCACATAGAAGAGTCAATCTTATATATTTTCTTCTTTTGTCAAAATCTGCTTGTGCCGCTAGGCGTCGCAGTTTATCAGATGATCGGCAACCGAGCCAGGGCGCGCTCAGTCGCTTCATATGCCGTGATGTTATAAAGTCTCAAGTTGTCCGTGACTCCTTCAATCCATCTTCTTCTTGGTCTTCCCCTGCCTCTTGGTGTTTCGATTTTCATGTTGTATGCTCTTGATGCTGGCATCGTTGGTTCCATTCTCATTAGGTGACCAAACCATTTCATTCTTTGCTTCTCAATAAATTTAACGATGGGTATGGTTCCAATAGTTCTTGTAATCACATCGTTTCTCACTCTATCTCTTCTGGTTTTATTCGCAGCCATTCTCAAACATCTCATTTCACAGGTGGTTAGTCTTCTCTCATGTTCTTTTGTTAATGTCCAAGTCTGACATTGATAACCTAATGTCGGTATAAAGATTGTATTTATAATTTGTCTTTTTATCTCAGCTGGGACAGCAGGGTGTTTTAAAATTGGGGCAAGATGGTATGCGACATTAATCTTATATATAATGACAGTTAAAGAAAAGTAATTCAAAGATAGTATCGGCACCTTCCAGATGATAGTGTTATACTGTGCTATAGGGTTGTGTGGCCAGTGTGACCAACAAGACCTGCTCATGTTAACTTTGTCAGACCTAAGGAACACATCATACATTCATAGGTTCCTACCAATGAACACAAGATGTGTCGATCACACATCCCCCTTCACTACCCCTTAGGCCTCTGATGCTAAATCCACTGGGACTTGAAGAGTTAAGAAAAGCCTTCCACAAATAGAGCATGGGATTTAAGGACATCTGATTGTTGCCACTGCATGTATTAGTTTCCTATCGAGAAATCACATAAAGCAGGAACTCCATAGCTCCAGAGATCTGAGTAAAGAATGAACTCGTGAACTGAACGATGTGCCCATGAAAAGAACCAACCACCTTCAGTGTGTAAGGCACACAGACTGACCACTACACCACAGAAACCCATAGTTAGAAAAAAAAATTTAAGATATTTAACCGTAGGGTCATGCATTAATAACCAAGCCAAACAACTTCTTAAAGTCTCAAAGATGTGGTTTTACAAAAGAATTCTTAGAATTCCATGGCCTGCCAAAAAGAGCAACCCAGATGTTTTCAAGGAACAAGGGCTTGAAGACGAACTTATCACAAACACCAGACAGAGGCAGCCAAAATAACTCGTCCTGTTATGAGAAGAAGGAAACTGGAACATGTTGTGACCACTGGAAAGATCTGTGGAAAAGAGAAAGACAACACGAGATGAGACAACACGAGAAGATTGTTAACCACCCTTTTGTCATGGCATGGTGGGGTGTGAGGGGTGTCAGCACATGAACTGATACATGCTGTTGAAGACTGGAGAGACATGATAGCCCACGCCAGTCGGCAAGGCACATGATGATGACGATGGAATGGTAAATAAACTTACTGTCTGACTGACTGGCAACATTGACTTTCTTATCTGCCTTTCCTTCTGTGGCAAGTTTAGTAACCTCTGAATCTGCCATATCTTGTTCTGTGTCCAAAAAAAAAGAAATAATTCAAGAATATAAGTAAAGACAACAGCTTTTATTTCTTTCTTTTTCTTTCTAATACACCAGTGGTGCGCTGGGCATATGATCCTAGACCATGGCTATTCAAATGGCGGCCCGCAGAGGCCTAGCAAGTGGCCCGCTGATCATTGCCTCTGGCCCACGACGATTCTTATTTTCACTATTTTGGTGACAGAGTAAACTTAGTTGAATAACCCTGTCGTAGACCAATAATTCTGTGGACCAACTGGCACTTGTGCACATGTGGACAACAGATCACATCCTCCAAGACTGTCCCAAACACAACATTTCAAAGCAAACTTTTGGCCAAGAGAGGCACTGGTTGAAGCCAAACTTTACGGGTCGCTAAATGAATTACAACAGACAGTGAAGTTCATACAGCACTGCAGATATAGAGACAGCATTGCAGATATAGATAACCTATTTTATATACTTTTCTCTCCCAGTGTGGGTCCTCGGGCCCCATTTTACAGGAACAAAGAACAGACCCACTGACCCCTAATAGCAAGTCGTAAAAGGGGACTAACTAGGGGTGTTTCAGTCGAAGTCGGAGTGCATCTGCCTGACAAGCCAGGAACAAACAGTCTGCATACAAATAAACCAGATCTCTGAAACAGACATGCATGGAAAACTCAAGTTCTGGAACAAGACCAAAGTCCAGAAATGGATGAACAACCAAAACTTTCCACAGATCCACTACCCCTAACAGGCATGTTTTAAAAGGTGATTTATTATGGTTGTGCTGAAATCCAGTGTGTAAAGGTGCTGATATCACAGCTTAGCTGTCAACTACAACACAGTGTACCAACCACCTGTATAAGAACAAATGTAGAAGATTTCTGCCAGTGCTGCGTTTGATTTTCTAATCCACTG